GAACCCTACGCCCGCCCCCGATCCACTGTCGACGACACGCCCTTCAACCCTCCCCCGCCACCTCCGCATTATAACTCCCGGACCCAGCCGCAAAATCCCTTCCCCGCGCCTTTCAAGGAACCCAGCGCGGGCAGTACACCCACCTACCAAGTTCGCCAACTCCCCCCGACGCATCCCGATATCCCACCCACATCCACCGCCCGCGCCTTGCCCACCTTTCCTCCTTCAAACCGCCCGCAGTATGAGCACAAGCCCAGTCCACCACGCAGTCCGGCTTCGCCCCGTAGTCCGCAGACATCGCAAGATCGCGGATACGCATCATTGCTCGAGCCGCATCCGCTCCCGCCTCCCCTTCCTCCACCGCTCACGCCCAGCGTCAGCATCAGCCCCACATCGAACGGCGAGGGCACCGTCACCGAGCTCACCGGTCTCGGCGATGGCTCCACAACAGCCCAGATCACCAATCTCCAACGCCTTCTCGATAACTTTGGGACTGCCAACGGCACGTCGAACGGGACCGAGAGCGAGAACGCGACCATGGTACCTCCTACGTACCGTGCACCGCCGCCAATCCCTACGCAACAGCCGTCCGTTCAGAAGGAGTTTACGCATATCCCCCCTCCACCACCGTTGCGCCCACCGCCACGATTACCGCAGCCGCCCAATGGTGCGGGTACCAACACACTCGGCGGTTACAGCAACGGCGGGACGAACATGAGTGTGCTCTCTGGGACATCCGAGAGCGTCGGCACGCTCGACAGCGACAGCGAAGGGCTGTGGAACGTCGCGCCTGCTCCCAGACCGGCGCCTCCCGTACCTGACCTGGGTATCTCCGCGGAGGACTTGGAGAATGGGACGGTCAGCAGTATCAGTACAGAGGGAACGGGTTACTGGAAGGCGCCGCTGCGGATGAGCCGTGGGCCGCATCTGACCGTGTCGACGGAGCAGTTGCAGCAGCAGCGCCCGCCCGTGCCTACCGTGAACGTCACTGGAGTTGGCGTGCCAGGCCCCGCGGCCGCTTCGGGGCTGTACAAGCATCCCATTCCAGCCAACTTCCCGCCTCCGCCTCGCGATCCGCCGCCGAGTCCTCCGAGAGAGCCATACGGCGGGCGTACGCCCAGAAGGTCGAGACGGAACTTGGCCAATGGGGCTGGGACGGCCAACGGTGGACCGGCGCCGGATAGTAGCTGGGCGGACCGTCCGAATCCGGAGGACGTGATCGACAGGCTAGAGCAGTGGTTCCCGAAATACGACGTCGACCAGCCAGTGATTGAATCTTCCTCGGGTGGTACATCGCCTACAGCGGCCGTGGCTCCCAATGTCCCGGCTGCCACGCCCATACCACCGCACGTATCCCAAGCCACTAAACGCGGGCACAAGAAGTCCATTCGTGTCGTCGCCGAGGAGCACAAGCAGAGGATCAGTAGGATTGGGAAGGGCGTCAAGGCCGGTAAAGATGGAGGGCTGAGCGGTTTCGCGAGCGATGTGGCGAGGAAGAGGAGTACAAAGTTGTGGGATAGTAAGGTCGAGGAGGTGACGCCTGGCCAGATCAGGGCGGGGATGCCGAGTATCACGCCGGAGAGTCCCGCCGGGACACCTACCGCTGCGCGAAAACGTGCGTATCTTTTGGCGTCTCCCTCCTTGTGGTGCGGATACTAATGATGTCGTCTGCAGCGATCTTCAAGTGGGTGCGCGGCGAGTTGATCGGCAAGGGCAACTTTGGGCGTGTATACCTCGCCATGAACGTGACAACGGGCGAGATGATTGCTGTCAAACAAGTCGAGATTCCACGGACGGCATCCGACCGTGGCGACGCACGTCAAGCAAACGTCGTCGAGGCGCTCAAGCTCGAGTCCGAGACGCTCAAGGACCTCGACCATCCGAACATTGTGCAGTACCTCGGCTTTGAGGAGACGGCGACGTTCTTGAGCATCTTCTTGGAATATGTGCCTGGTGGAAGTGTGGGTGGGATCCTGAGAAAGTATGGGCGATTCGACGAGGATGTCACGAAGAGCTTCACGAGCCAGATCCTGGCGGGGTTGGAGTACCTCCATTCTAAAGGTATTCTGCACAGAGTGAGTGGTCTTGCCACGTTGCGTAGTAAGGCGACTGCTAATGCGTCATTGCAGGATATGAAGGCGGACAACGTCCTCGTCGAGCAAACGGGCATCTGCAAGATCTCGGACTTTGGCATCTCGAAGCGCATGGAGGACATCAACGGCCAAGCGGAGACTGCCATGCAAGGCACCGTATTCTGGATGGCGCCCGAGGTCGTCAACACCGGCAAGCGCGGCTACAACTCCAAAGTCGACATTTGGTCCGTGGGGTGTATCGTGCTGGAGATGTGGGCGGGCGAGCGTCCGTGGCGCGAGAAGGAAGCTATGGCGGTCATCGTCATGTTGTACAACGCCAAGCAGGCGCCGCCCGTGCCGCAGGGTTTGGATCTCAGCGAACTTGCTCTGGATTTCAGGGCGAAGTGCTTTGCTGTGTACGTATTGCCCTTTTATTCGGGGTGTGTCGGATTCTGACGCCCGTTCGTTGAATAGTAACCCGGATGAACGACCTACTGCGGCCGAGTTGAGGAAACATCCATACCTTGAACTCCCGCCCGATTGGACGTTTACAGGCTTTACCCACCGGGATAACGCGCTCGAGGAAGCTGAGAAGTTCTGAGCTTCCCGCTCACTGGTCTTTCCGGGCGTGACTCTACTCGCAGTTGCCTACCCCTGCACTCGCGCACTTATATACCGGCTCCACATCGTCCAATGTACCCTGTCCTTGTCCCGCGCCTTCTGGATCTCCCGCACATCGCTCCCGTGTACACTCCTAGCCGTTTGCTCTATCGTCCTTCCTCAATCACTTGTCCATGCATCACATCGCACGTTTACATAGCCTTCCACCTCCCTCGGCATCCATATACACTCGTCCCTCGCAAGCTTCCACTTCCGCCCACTTTCTCGGATCCCTTACTGATATCCTTGTCTGTCATCCACTCCATTCTGTTCTCTCCCACATCCACAGCGTCTCTCTCACGTAGTAGTAGTACATGTTCTGACCCATCTCTCGTGTGTTCACAGCTTGGCTTGTATACGTCGATGTTACCCTTTTCCGTTTCGTCTCGTCCGCCTCGGAATGCTTAACCTTTCTGTCTGTGTGTGTCATCGCCAGCCGTCGTGTTCCCCTGGAGAATGCTATGCCTCACCCTGAACACTTCCACCTGCAGTCGTACTACCATCCCCACCAAGTACCCGTGTACATATAATCGTTTCGCGCAGCTTTCGGCTTTGACCTGGCCATCGATGGATATACATCATACACCATGTGTTGGAGGCCTTTGAGCTTATTTGAAGTGTGGTTCAGATCTCAACCAAGGGACGGAAGTATTCAGGTTGCAGGGAGGCGCTTTGTGTGTATCTGTAGGTCCGGGAGGGCGCGTTTCTGACGTCACTTGGGCGTTCTGGCGATGGCCCTGCTTGAAGTTGTACCGCCAAGAAGCTCGTCCCGTCACTTTTGCTTTCGCCCCTCCACTACTATCTCATACTGCTATATCGATGTCACGCGACGATGGCCCACAGGACACGCAGCAGAGTCATGGTCAAGACGACGCCGCGCGCAAGCTTCAGAAGCTGTGGCGCGGGCGTAACGATGCGAAGGACCAGTTCTTGACGTCCCAAGCGAGGTGGGACGAGGTTGTCGGGGACACGGCTTTGAAGGTGCGTTCGGTATTGGTGACATCGTGGCATTTTTCAAGCGAGCCATACCGATATCGAGCGACAGGCTGCAGGAGATGGGGCTGGGAGAGGAGACAACTCGCAGCGCGCGAGGTGGGGACGGGCGGGGAAGTATGTGATGCGCTTGCAGGACCCGGACGCGATGATGGCCGGCGCCGGCACGGACGTACCGGATGCCGCGCGCAAGAACCTCGAGACGCAACACTGGCTTGAGCTCATTGACGGGTTCGTGGTACATTCCCCTCTGAGCGTAACTGGCGGCTTACGGCTTGCTTGCACAGGAAGCATCGATATGGCTCCAACCGTGAGTGCTCTTCTGGTCTCGGATGATGAGAAATGCCGATCGTATATAGTGAAGGTGTGTCTGGTCCCTGATACATAAGCACAAGACGCTGAAGCAAGAATACAGTACTATTTTGCGAAGTGGAAAGAAGCAGACACCGAAGATAACTTCTTCAACTGGTGCGTCCCTGAGTCCTACGTTTTGCTGCTCTGAGGCCGACCTTGTTCGAGGCTCGACAATGGTGGAGGAAAGGATCTGGATTTGAAGGAATGCTCGCGCGAACAGCTCGAGAAAGAAGTGAGGTTTCCTTGGTGCACTCGCGAGCCAGATATTTACATCTTTGCAGCGCATATAGTCTGTTGTCTCTCTTTTTGCTTTATTAACATCGCCTGACGACCCTACGCAGTTATCTTACGAACGAGCAGCGTGAGTCGACATGGAGGGCTCGCTCATGACAGCAACTCAATCCTGTGCTTCGTAGGCCTCAACTACCTGGTCCAGATTGACGACCAAGGTCGACTACGGTGGGCAAAGAATAACGAACCTGTAGACACTTCTCCAGGCCGCTGGAAGGACGCAGGAGACGGAAAGGGGATTGTACCTCTGGATAGCGAGGATCACCCCGAGCTCGAGGAGGACGATCAGAGCGGCGGTCTTGACTCGCCTGGATCTCTCGCGGTGAACCACTACGTCGAGCCGCCGCAGGGTAACAGCAAACTCACAACTTCCGTCAAACGGAATTTGACGCTCAAAGGTTTGGTCAACAAGCTTCTGCGCAAGACCTTGCAAAAGAACACTTGGATATACGTCTCGGATAAGAATTGTGAGCCGCTGCATCTCCTACGGTGTCTGCGCACACTCATATTGCTGACAGATAACATTTTCGTCGGCATCAAGAGTATGTCCAGGCCTTCTACGCTCGTGGCTGCTATTGAACGGCATGCACGTAGAACCTGGCACGTTTCAGCACTCGTCATTCCTAGCAGGCGGCAAGGTCACATCTGCGGGCCTCATCTCCGTCAAGGACGGCGTCATCCATACGCTCTCTCCTCTGTCAGGACACTATCGAACATCTATAGACGTGCGCTCGATGGGTTCATACCCAGACAAGAGTGATGGCTGACATCATCTTCACGCAGCACTTTCATCAATTCCTCGACGTGCTTGACAAGAAGGGTGTGGACATCTCGCACGTCAAGAAAACCAAAGCTGAAGTTGCGTTGTGGACGTGAGTGATCAAATACAATGCCGGAAACGACGGCACTGACGCTGACGGCGCAGACTGGAGCACGTCGCGAAGGCAAAGAAGAAGAAAGGCGCCCTGGTCACTTCGACGAAAGAGAAGGCGAGGGACTTGGTAAGACGCAACTCTGGTGGGACGGACGAAGAAGACAAGAGTGACGAAGACACTGGTTGGAAGCGGGAGATCCTTTACGGGCGGAAGAAAGAAGAAGAGGATGAGGGGAGCGCCGAGCATACGCCCGAGGGTCAGGAGGCTCAGAGGGCAGTCTCCGATACCGCAACCACAAAGCAGCATACAAACGACGAACGGCCAGCATCAGCGCCAGCGAGACACAAAGACACGTCTCATCCACGGGCAGATTTCACAGTCGAAAAGGCGTCCCCTACCGAAGAGACTCCGCCTGCAGTCTCGGATACGACTTCGCCAGACAATGGCCCGTCATCGGATAACACAGGCGAAGAATCTTCGTCTTCACCGCGCGTAGACGGCAATGTACCTTCATCACAGACAGACCCACACCATCATTAAATGCACAACTAATACCCAGCTTTCTCGCCTACATGACATACTTCATTGCAATTGCTCTGTCAGGGACCGCTTACTGATCCTAGTTCTAGTGTACACTACCCATCTGACACATTCTAAGTCTGCCAATATATGCCGGCAGTATCACTCAATATTCAATCCCTCACTCTCCTTCCAGCGCTGCATCAACTTATTCGAAGGGTACCCGAACGGATCGAGCACCTGGACGGTTGTAATTAGTATGTGAACTTGTCGGTGCCGTGTTCCCCACCTTCTGTGCGACTTCGGCTCCTGCAACGGCGGGAACTTTCTCAGGATCGAGCAGGCCGAGCTGCGCACGTCTCATTATGCAATTCTTGTGCAGATTGTATATCTTTGACATACCTGTACAAGGGCGGAGGCCTGGTCCCAGTATCTTTGCAAAGATGAGCGGACCCCGGTACGTGTGCGACAAGCGGGGGTCTGGGCGCTCACATATGCTCAAAGGTCAGCTTGTCACCTCGAAACGCGACGACGCCGACGACCGCGAGCTCGAGTGGCTTCCATGTCGGCTTGATGCCCGGTAAGAAGTAGTCGATTTCCTGCGGTGGTCACTTAACCTTCAATACCCGTGAAGGCGCCACAGTGTATACGCGGAACTTGCCGTCGTATGTGTGCATTTGAATATCATCTCATCAATGATTCTATCGGCTCCGACTGTGTGATGAATTCAATGAAACGTTATACTACGCTGGGAGTATGCTGACCTGTTCGGGAGACTGTGATGAGCTCTGTGTCCGGCGGCTGTCGCTCCGATGAGCATGGGTATCTGAAAACATAGAAAGGGGTACACATGCCGTGACCGTTTCCGTTGTGAAATGGTACTTGTAAAATCGGGCAAGGTCCTCATAGCCAACACCCCCAGTCAAGGTGGCAACGTGATTGACATACGGTACCTTCACCATCGTGCTCATAGTCTTTGGTGCATTCCGCTCGACAAACTCCTGGAGATTCGATCATCAGATGCAATATGAAACACTAAGGCGAAAAAGAACTTGCGTAGTAAGTGTGTTTCTCCCACAGTCGCTCCAGATCAAAATGTGGCCCGAGCTGACGCCGCAAGAGATCAAGCGTGCGGCTGTATGCCAAGCTGGTCGCTGACCGGATGTACGGATCGATATGACTGCTCTCACCGGCCACCACAAGAGCGGGAGCTTTCGCAGCGAAAGGGAATGGTGGTGAAGCGGGCACAAGCGGGTAGGTGAAGAACGAAAGCGGGGAATGCTCTGCCGTTGTGCGCGGTGCTGGGAGCGCATTTGACACTAAGAGTTCCTGTAGAGTAGCCTGTATAGCCTCTTGCGACGAGGATAGGTGTATAAGGGTTCTGTACAGGCATGAGATGTCGCGATATCGGATCAAAATGACCACAGTTACTGAATGGATTGCCCTTCGTCTCGTCTGACTAGCAAACCCGCGGGATCTTCTGTAAGAGGCGCATAGTGGACGCAGGCGCGCAAGCGTTCTTCCCCAGCAGCGCTGACCAGTCTAGCAAGGGAGAGAATGCCATCCGCGAGCAGACCGTAAGTCACGATCGCCCATAAGCGGCTGCTCTGTTTCACATATCCTCCGGCTGCGTTCAGCGATGAGGCCAGATCGCTTGTAGATGTACCTGGATAAGAGACATGGATGGTTGTATATCCTTCCTCTGCAAACTTGATGGGATGTTAGCAGCCCCCGCGAGCCCATAAGCGACCGGCCAAGATACCTGCTGGCACCAGCCGCCTTGCGATCCTTCGATGAGAGCTACGATGAGCGGCGCCTCCTTGACCGAGGCGACTGAGTTCTCATAGATCTTGTGCATCGCTTGGTTTTGCAAGAGGGATAATCAAGTCCCACAGAATGCTTGGGTAAGGTTGGGTGACCTCAAGATGGCCGTCAATGTCAAGAACGGGTGGACCTCGATCCTCACACGCGATAAGCAGTGCGAACGCTCCCAGGTCACGTCTGGGGACGATAGTTCCATGTCCTATCTGTGCAGGCTTCGGTTTGAGACTTCATAAATAGCATAAGGGATCATATATAGGTCATCGCTGGGCCATCGAAGGAACCACTGGGGATCGTCGTCGTCAATGGCGAGTGACACAAGCCGCGTTTGATCAGGTTTCGTCATCGCCGTGCGTTGCCGCGGCTCCTTGCGCACAACCTCCCTTACATCGCGCGACCATGTCAGTTCCCGTATGTGCAGTTCATGCACCCTAGCCCAAGGATATACCCCTGAAAAATGTTATCTCAAGTGAGACTGCCATCATTGGCTGAGAAATGGAGTACGGGACTTTTCGAAAGGTGCTAAACTGAATCACGGATAAGAATGTCACGGTGTTCTGGCCTCATGACCGACCGGGCGAGGCGTTTGACACCACGACTGACCTCTCGAAATACTCGGAGTCGGACCGCGCTAGTTGCACTGTGACCCCCATGTCCACCCCAGCATCTACGTCAGGCTCTTCTCCCACTCCCTCGGAGCGTGTCGTGCGGTTCGACGACCGGTGCGTGCTCGTGCCCGAGCACCGGTGTTCGCGCCTTCCACGGTTCCTGCAGGGGTCCTACTCGCTGTCGCCCATCTTCCACAGGGACTCTCCACCAAATCCTATAGACGAGGCTGCCAACGCAGATATCATACCAAACGTCTCGCGCCCTTCACTCCTCACTCGGTCCGTTCTTTCACGTCGTCGAGCGCATGCTTTTTGAATGAACGCATCTCGTAGTTTATCCTCAAAAATGGCACATTCACCGTCGCCGCGTCGGTCAAATAGCGCAGATCGTATACCACTGTCGCCCTGCCTCGTGCACCATGACCATGATCACGACTGCGATCGTCCACCGCTATCAAGAGCAGGTCGAAGACGGCGACCGTCACTTCCGGAACCTATCTCGCACTCGGTGTCCTCACCTGGTTCACCTGGTGCTGCGGAGCTTATCACCGTGCCGCTTCGCCCGTGCTGTGTACAATGTTTTAAGGTCACAGAAGCTTGCCTCGCCCACGGAGATGCCTGGAGGGAACGGTTCACCCGCGCTGCTCGCAACCGACGGAATGCGAGCATTGACTTCCAGATGGCCCGTCAAAATCGAAGTCCCCCTGGCCAATCTTCTCCCGGGACCTTCGCAGCTGTGACCGTGGACGAGGTGGCCAAGGAGGGAATCGTCTTGTCTGACAGTCCCGAGTCTGAGATCCAAGACGCGGAGAGCCCTCGGCTCGTAGTCGAAGGAGAGGACTCTTGGGTGGCATCGGTTCCCGCCGACGTACTGGGCGCCGGGATCACAAGGAAGATGCTGTCGCCCATCCCGAGCAGGAACGTTTCTACCGAGGACTTGATGGTGGCCCGCAAACCTTCTTCCTTGTCCTTCGAACGGATCACACACGAGGAACTCCTCAAAGCGGACGCCATCTACACGTCTCCGCCAGCATCCCCTCCGCCGCGCACACCATCGCCTCCGGAGAGGTCGGTGTCCAATTCGCCGAAACATAGGTTCAAGTTTCCTGCCGGTGCCGAGTTACTTCGGGCTGGCGTGGACATGTTCAAGGGTGTAGGATCATTCAGTCCGACATCGGTGTGAACTCTCGTCTTTGCACTTCACTTTTTTATGCTGCATGATCCATCGACCCAACCGCATTGACCCAGCTGGCCGCACCTGTTCTTGAACCACTGTACTTTACATACCATTTTCATGTATACCATCTGCCGGTTTATCTTCGTATTACGTCGACCGACTCTGTATCTGTATTTGCCTCTGCGAACCGAATGAACAACGTCGTAAACCAGCGTCAACGCCGAGGCCAATTGTTCCAGAAAAGCCATCGAGGTCACGCGTATTTTGTTGGAACGCGTCGTGGGCGAAGCGCGCGGGTCTTCGAGAGCTCACGCTCGCCACCGATGTCGGCCTATTATTCGCCCTACCGCAGCGGCTCTGGAGCGGCCCCCCTGAATGGTAGCACAAGCGGATGGCTTTCTACGCGACAACCTCCTCCAAAGCCGGTCTCCGAGCTGGACCTGCCCGCGCTACAGACCGCGAGCCGCGTCCTGCACGAACACTTCCTAAAGGATGCTCAGGCCGTACCCGACTTGGGCGATATGATTACTATTCGTGCGTGATAAATTAACTTCCTTGTATGTACTATGTACTCACAAAGGACCCAGCTGGCGCACAGTCTTCTGCTGCATATAGCATCTTCCCCGACGACTTTCGCGTACCCTACCAGAAACGAAGTCTGAAGCATATACCGGACGCGCTCTTTCAGTTCTACAATAGTACGTCTTATAGCGCATGGCGTTATCTTTAAAGCTCATGGTACTGCAGCCGCGGACATTGTTTCCCACATCGGTCTACTTCCGGAGATCGAACGCGTCTGGGTGTCCATTGACCACAAATTGTTTTTGTGGGACTATGTCGAGGGGTGGGTCTCCGAATACTCTGCTCCATACGCGCGCACTACTCACGAGCCATGTAAAGCGAAGAACTCAGCTCGTTCACCGAGCAGCCGGACGTCATCACAGTCGTGAAATGCGTCAAGCCCCGCCCGGGCGTCTTCATCGACGAGATCAACTATGTGCTCGTCATCGTCACACCCTTCCACGTCGTACTACTAGGAGTCGCGGCGAGGGATGTTGAAGGTCCCGGAGGCGTTGCGCGCAAGGACATAAAGCTATTCGCCACCGACTTGAAGATTGCGACGGAGGTGGAGATGACGGATGTGGCGGGGACAGATGATGGCAGAATCTTTTTGACGGGTGCTCAGGACGGGCACATATATGAGCTGCATTACCAGGAGAAGGAGGGCTGGTTCGGAAAGAGGGTGCAGCTCATTAACCATTCCATCGGTGGTGTGCAAAGCTTCCTCCCACGCCTGAGCACGGCCCGTACAGCGGACGGTGAGTGCAACGCTCAAAATGTAGACTTGGCCCGTTAGTTTCTAACTTACTGTCTTTCAGTGCAACTCAAAAGCATCGTGTCGGACCCCGGACGAAACCTATTGTACACCCTCACGGCCAGCAACGTCATCAATATCTACCAACCTGCGCCGAATAAGGTTCTTCAACATGTTCAGAGCCTGGCGAATCTCTACAAGTCTGCACAGGAGAAGGCGCCAGGATCGCCCCCGCTCACGCCCAATACCTTCCAGATCATCTCGCTTCAAGTCGTGTCGCCGCAAGAGTCCCGCGTTGGCGTTCAATTGGTCGCCATCACTATTGGGGGCGTCAGACTTTACTTCGGTCCCGCCGCCTCACCCTACGGTGGATACTATGGTAGTGGATCGACCAGTGGTGTGCGCTCATTGAGCTTACTGCACGTCCGGCTCCCACCGGCGAACCTACTCCACCCGGACGAGCAGACGAACCCCGCTTACCAGGTTCATCACTCGGTTTATGGCCAGCCCTCGCACTCTATGGCCCCGGCTACGTCGCGACCATTTGTGCTTTCGGGTATTGACCAGGCGCTTTACAACGACGGTCTGACTCTCGCCTGTCAACCCGGCGATGTCGAAGGTTACGACTACATATTTTGCGTCTCTCCAGACCTTACTCGCATCGGCGACTTTGGACAAGTCTCAGCGCCGCCACAGCCAGCACAGATCACGTACGGTGGGATGGGTGGCGGGCCGTCTCGACCACTGACGGAACGTGCTATGTTGCTCGCTATCGGTGGGCGTACATGGGGCGTTGCACCCCTCCCGCGACCGGCAAAGACGGTTCTTAACGCGAGCATGCGCACCGATGGCGGGCAACCCCCTTCACTCAATAATGAGCTTGCGTATCAATTCCTGGAGCCCGCCCGGCAGTTCATCATCCTAACGAATGTTGGGTTGCATTACATCGCTAAGCGCCGCGCACTTGACTGGTTGAAGGATGTTGTCGAAGAGGCCTCCAGTGAGAACAATGTGCAACCTATCGTGGAGTTCAGGGATAGTTTCGGGCGTGACCAGACGTGTGCGATGTTGTTGGCGCTGGCGAGTGGGAATACGTTCCTTGACCTCGGGGAACAGTCGACTTGGGGAAGAGTCACGTCTCTGCCACCAGACGTCGCCATGAAGGCCAAGCAGGCATTCTACGACTGCGGGGAGCGGCCACTATGGACGGAGAGAATGGCGTATGGATCCGCGGATACGTCTGGTACCGCAGTATACAGTGGACGGAGAGAAGGACTCGCGTTGTACTTTGCAAGATTGGTGCGGCCGATATGGAAGAATAAGCTGGTGAAGCCCGGGTAGGTCTGCTCTTTGATATGACTTTTGGCTGCGCTGAGATATTTAGTCCTGCTGGCGTGCACGTAGTGAACGTGCCACAAGATCTACTCTTCCTGGTACAGCGGAATCTATCTGCGTTGAAGGAATTCTTGGACAAGAACCCGCATCTATTTCACTCGGCGAGCGGTGATCAACCGGGCATGCGTGCCGCACCCGCCAACGACCAGGAAGCTTGGAGAGCCGAACAACATTCTGTCGCCCAAATCCAGGCGTTACTCGCGCGAACCATCGAGGGCATATCCTTCTTCCTTCTACTTAATGACCACCAGATCGGCCAACTCATCTCCAAGACCGACGCTGAGGTCCAGAAAGCCATCACCACGTTGACGTTCGAAGAGCTTATGACGAGCGACAAGGGCGTGCACGTCTCGCGTGCTCTCGTGAACGTGGTTATTGACCAGCAAATTGGCCAGCAAGTCGGCGTCGACACCGTTAGTGACGTGTTGCAATCTCGCTGCGGTTCATTCTGTAGCACGGACGACGTAATGCTGTACAAGGCGAAGGAAAACACACGGCGCGCCGTTGAAAGCAGAAACTTTGCTGAGCGCCAGGGATCCCTCGAAGACTCCCTTCGACTATATGCCAAGGGCGCGCGCATCCTGGACTTCGACCAACTGCGCGAGGTCATCGGCGACTACCAGCAACTCGACTTCGCGAAGGGCGCCATTGAGCTCCCACTCGCATGTGCCCAAGCGCGCGACGCGGATGGTCAGGGCCAAGGATTCTGGCAATCAGTACCAGATCCATACGCGCCAAGTGATGACCCGCGGAAGGAGTTCTGGGATCGTCGTGCGCAGTGCTATGGCCTTGTGCTTGACTCGCTCGAGGTCTTCGAGCAAAAGGCTACGAAGGGTGGCGAAGATGCGGAACGTGTGCGTACATATGCGTACGAACTCGCCTTTGCGAGTGCGGACGAGATGTTCCATTCCCGGATGTACGACTGGTTGATTAATCGTGGATTGGCGGATGAGCTTCTGGAAGTAAGTGACACATCTCCAGTATACATAAGCGCTTGTCAGGCTGATAAGATTGGATTAGATGCGTCCGCCGTACCTTCAAGCACACCTACTCAGAGATCCGGCGACTGTGGAAAAGCTGCAGCTTCTCTGGCAGTTCTACGTGAAAGACGGCCAGCCTCTTGAGGCCGCCGTCATTCTTGCCCAATTGGCCGACTCACCTCAGTTCCCTCTGCCGCTCACGCAGAGGTTGGAATGCCTCACACTTGCTGTTGGTAACGCGAAATCGCATCCAGTTGCCGTCGGCGGTCAGCACGAGTCCGCCATCGCCTTTCTCACGGAGCTTGAGGAGAAGTTGGAGGTTGCGCAAGTCCAACTCGAGACACTCAACGCGATGGCTGCTCTAGTGCAATCTCCTAATGGCACACCAGAGATGCGCGACATGCTCGATGCTTTAGATAACGGTCTCTACGATGTCACGGAGCTCTACAAGCTTTACGCTGAGCGTTACGACCTGTCGACTATCAAGCTATTAATCCTGCACGTCTCACAACACACCGACGAGCGTCTCGTGCATGAGATTTGGTCGAAGACGGTTGACGAGATTATCGAGAGCTGCCCTGGTCTGGATGCCGCTCAGCAATTGCAAAGCAAGGTCGTGTCCCTGGGGCAACGCTTCTACCCTTCAGAAGCTGCATTTCCCTTCCGTGCGCATTGTCTCCCTGTTTGTCGAATACTCGCCTCATTTACCTTCGCAGGTCACATCGTCCACCTTTTGTTCGATTACCAGCTTCAGTATCCGGATACTCTGCCACCAGGCTGGACTCCTCGGATACTGGTGGCCTCAGGTGTTCCGCATGCCGAAGTCTGGGACGTTCTCCACCAGATGTATGATTCGCATGTTCCGCCATTCAACACACCGGATGCTGTGCGTGCGGTATCTGGGGCCATCTGCGTGCTCTTGAGCGATTGGCTCGAGGCAGCACGGCGCTCGGCGTCGGACTACTTCCCAGTCGACCGCATAGACACCAGCGTGGGGGTATATGTCAGTGAGCTACCGCCAGGTGAAGCCACAAGGGCGACACGTGAGGCATACGAGCGGATTAGCCGGGAATTGCGTCGCAATTGGTAGTTGTTCGGTATACTGTATGTTGTCGTGTATCTCCTTTTGCAGAAGGATGCTTTCATCAATAATGGCATCGATACCTTCCGCTAGTGGTCCGACCGGCGACAGCGTCAGGCTCAACTCTGGAGATTAGCAATATACACTAAATAATATACAGACAGAAATAATGTCCAGCGGATCTAGCCGCGCTGTCGTGAGCGAGACGACACCCCTAATTAACCTCCAAAATAATATCCTCTGCTCTCAGCAGGAGACGTTGAGACCACCTCTCGGTCACTTGGTAGACCTTCCACACGGCCCTGCACATCGTACTATCAGACGTGTGATTCTTGATGGACGTATGAGACGGCGCCCACCTCAGTGCACCGATCAACAAGAGAGTGACGAGAATCAATGCGGCGGTGTCCGTGGCGTTCGCCCGTCCGTTTCGTCGGCTGCGGGCTCGGGAGCGTGCCAACCATTGTATAGGTCCCAAACCTCCAACAGTGAACAGCATCTGAACTAGTGAGCCGGCACCCACCATGGGCAAACCCAACAGGAAGCGCCGGACGAAACGCATGGGTATCCCTGGTGTCTGTCGCTCGCCTCCCCGTGCGGCCCTTGCCAAAAGGTTTGGATCTAGAGGAATGCCTGACTCGTCTTCTACGAGCCGTATCCCCGCGCGGACAAGATCACCAAAGACGGTGATAGGGTTTGTCCAGTAAGGTGAGTAATAGTAGTACGACGTTCCATCATCGTCTTCACTGAATACAGACATGAACGTGGTCGTGACGAATGATGCTGCCAGGACAATGATTGTGAAGAGTATAGAGCTGACAGCACCGACTACGACTTGCAGGCAACCGGCTTAGTTAGCCAGTGTCCAGGGTTAAGTAATCGTTTCGATGCACTCACTTGGATTCGTAGCTAGACCTAGAACCTTCGTGCGTCTGAAGTTATACCGGTAATGGCATTGCGGACAAGAGAAGAAGGCAGTGTTGGAAGATTCTCTCCAGCGGTTCAAGCACTTGACGTGTACGTACTGTAACCGGAAACAAGATCGATTCAGCCACAATAGCTTTTAATCGGCAAAACGTATACACTGAGCTTACACTGATAGACCCTCGGCAGAGACATGGGCGTATCAATCTACCCAGCTCGGGATCCGGACCGTCCAAACAGATACGGCATTGGGGAATCTCGGATTGCTCGCCTGTGGCCTGAGCGTCTGTGTCCTGCCGAGCTGTATTCGTTGGACGCGCCGCAGGAGGGTCATCCAAGGGTCGGAGAAACCCAGGCATTGTCTCAGTGGGATCCATTGGCACTCCAATCTAACTGACGACTACGAGGGATCTCCGCGATTCGAAACAATGCTGGTGGTCGCAAGAAGGCAGAAACAGAGGTCGTACACCGGCTGACAGTACGCGAGGAACGTGGCATCAGGTTCCGGCCACGTTGTGAGATCACGCACACGTGAGTTCTCTGAATTTGCGTCGGGCAAGAGTTGACGTTCCCACTTCGTTCGCGTTGAGCGCCAGGTCTGACAACGTCTCGATGGCCCTGTATACTGCCCAGTACCATGACCTAAAATGCGTATCTATGCGGGTCTAAGTAACGGAAGTGCCGTCGCTAATGATGCGAGCCACAGTCGTCACCGAGAAGCAAGCTCGACTGTTTTGAAACTGATCGGACGACGGACGCAGAGCATTCGAAGCTGGCCTCGATCACGGCAACCTGACTTCTCGCCCGCGGCGCGTGGCTTGCTGTATTTGATGATCCACAATCTAGCCAGCTTCGTTTTCCCATGTACCTCGCCGTTGACGAATGCCTAGTACATCCCACCACTGACCGTATGGGAACGTTTGCAAATTAGTGCCTACAAGGGAAAAGAGCCCCCGCACAGCCCTGAAGGGTAGCATACTTGAGACGTCAGAAAAGACGGGTGTACATGAGCGTAATAGTATGTTCTTTGCTCGAAGATGCGTGCTCCGAGCGTACTATACGGTGAATAATCGGATGCATCTTGACCTTGAGGCCTGAGTACTGAGTGCTCGGCCCACTGAACTGACGCCATGCGGAATACGCCAGAGTGCCTGGGCCACACTAGACAAGCTCCCTAAAAATCTGATGTCTCCGGCAGACTCACTGCGGTGATATTGTGGATCACACTTTAAATTCTCGCGTATCGGGCAATACGCCAGCGGGTGTTGCAAGCGACGTGACGGGTAGCGTTTTCGAGCCGCCACCGTCGCGGCCAAGCCACGTCCTACAGTGCATCATCCGGAGGTGTATGGCCCTTTATATGATTAAGCCAGCGGTCAAATCGAGCACAGCGCGGCAAACCCGACGGACGTCCGAATGCGGCCGGAACCGGAACACTGCGGGGCCACATCATCTCGCACGGCCATACACAGCGCCCATGAACGCCGTTCGCTTCGCAAAAGTGTGGCCGGGTCCAGACACAGGGTGTTGACGTGATTCAGGTAAATCATTATAAGGCATCAAGATATGCAAATAGGTATAGGTAGAGCAGTATAAGAGGCGAGTATAGGCGAGTAAGACGGGGAGTGAGGTACGGAACATATCTACAGCTACAAGATGTGTGCAAGAGAGTGCGGGGCAGGGTCCAATATGCGACAGTGGTTGGGAAATGCAAATGTGGAGTTCGAGATTTGGTTGTCAGGGGACGATTAGGGACCGATGAAACGTCGTCAGAGGTAGCAACGGGAGAAGGAACTCGGCGGGAGCACGGTCGGCCAGCGACCCTCTGAAATGGCTCGCTCCCAATCCGCTGCATGCGAGCGGTACAAGTCGAGGGCGGCACGGGCGTTTTCAAGCGCATCATGCTGACCGTCTTGCTGGCAATGGCGGCGCATGAGCTTCCAAGCGAGGGTTTGAAGACCGATGAGTTGATTAGGTGATTTAAGCGCGTTGCGAAATGGCTGATAGAGGCCGACATCACGGGTGTTGACGGCGCCATGGGGCAACCCAAGGACTGCGAACGCGTCAATATATGCGGTCGAAAGGGAGGACATCGACAGGCACGCCACCCACCTGAAAGGTCCTTCCAAAGTGAGTGTCCGACAAGCACCTTATCCTTGATCATAGACTTGACGTGGTTCTGTACCGTCTCAAAGGGATAGGCACGGCCTTCGCGGGTATGCGTTAGCGCGTCATATAGGGGGACGAAGAGCGCTAACTCCTTACCGGGCGCCAGATGCTGCGGTTGGATTCCCGTTGTGGCGGTGCGGTAATCGGACACTTGCATAGTCGGAAGTACGTAGTAGTCGATGAGAGTTTGGCCTCGGAAGTCTGTGATGGCAACGCGGCTGGATACATCCGTGTCAGCGTAGGTCCTAGTGTGCCCTTTGGGGCCTGAGCGTACGCAAGCATGTCGGTAGTTCCACCAGGGCCAACCCCGACGTTAATGCAGGAGAGCGAGACGACATGCTCAGGAGAAGGAGAGCGGTACGACATTAGAAAATTATAGAACGGTGTAATACGAGAGTAGAGAAGGTGAAAAGTCTAGTAGTCGAGTCGAGGACGCTGGAAGAGCTGGTGGTGATCAACGGAGCGGGCCGCTTGCCTCTATATATGCAGAGGCGGGGGTATCGCTTACAGTGGGCGATCGAAACATTGGTTGGGACAATCTCCTGGTCCCGCGCGGTAGCTTGGCGTCATGACAGTGAAGCAAATAATCGGTGAAAGGGATGCTGGGGACGCGAACGAATCGGGGTCCCTCATCTCGCGAAGTGGCCGCCCATCAAACCGGATTTACGACCTGGGCCACAACCCACAGCTCAACCAAGGCACCGTTGCTCCAGAAGCATATCCAGGCGTCGCTTGGACCTGTATCACCCCAGCGAAAAGCCGTGTGTCCGGACGTTTTGTCGCGCTTGCTTTGTTCGGCACCTGCGCCTTCCTGTTCGCCTGTATATTCTAAAACAGAGGATGCCGATACGCATACGCTGCGCAGACACTGCTCCGTGAATGGGCGCGCGTTGATTTGTCCAGTGTCAGTTCCCACATGTCATCGTCATTATCGTTAGAGAAGGACAGCGCGAGATCTGGGGTGTGGACAAATCTCATAGTAAACCTAGTGCCACAGGTGGGCTATGACTCCCGACATTACACAGCTCTCAGAAAGGTAACAATCAAGTCAAAGTGGCCGTTGGTCTGAACATATTGGGAGCTCCTGCCACGCCGTCGTCATGTATAACCCGCTTGATGACGACCTGGGCCCTTTGACAGACATCGAGCGATATGGTCGGATGAAGATGAAATAGGTGGGATAACCGTGTAACCGCGGACCCGAATATGAAGGCAACGAGGCTCTGTTTTCAATGCTGTTGCGCGTCGCGGTCTAGACCGCTTTGCAAAACGACTACGAGAGAAGGCCCTGAGGCATGCAACACGAATACTATGGCCCCAGTATCCATAGGAGATATGCAATGGCGTCGGTCGGCTGACAACCAATATCGCCCGCTCATTTCGGATGACAGAGTTCTATAGTTCGTGATTCCCGACTCCCGAGGACAACGAGGAGTCATAACTTCAAGGAAGAATGTCCATTCGGATATCCTCGTGAGCACGAAATAACTTGAACCCAATCGAAGCGAGCAATACAGAGTCTAAACCCAGCGTAGATAAACGTCGCGCCACATGCGCCACATCCAACATTCTTTTCGGGTATCTCGGGACCTAGTGTACCGCTGTAGGGGGGCGGGCGAACAAGGCATAATATCATGTGTGGCAGATATAGTGTTCCGAATGCCACAATGCGACGATGTGCCATTAAGCCACACACGCGTCGATTTGCCAAGTGTAGTACACTTGCCCAGATGATTGCCCCTCGGGGAAATCGGGCTACGTACCATGCGTTCCCAGAGCGTTTCGTCCTTCTGGTCCGAGTACCGAAGAGGGCACTATCTCTAGATCTGTCAGATTTAAGCCGTCAATGCTTGAACACCGTTGTAAATGCCGCTGAGGACACCGGCGTGCCCGGATGAGTAATGTTCGAAGTCAAGGATGTCCGACTTAAAGGTTGGATCTCATTCTTGTACTACGTTGACCGATGTCGAATTTAGGGGATAGGCAGGCAACGGATCGCCTACGTAGACGCCGATATCGCTGTGTACGTCGCGCCGCGATAATGTTCCGCACGATGCTCCCGAACACTGTTCGCCGCTGGGCAGCGCGTTCCCTAATCTGCCTCTTGCGCCATCTCCATCCAATCGTCCCCCGACGTGGATACACCTGTCCCCGCCCTCCGGAGATCTGTGGTATGGTCCGGGACTCCTTGCCGAGAAGCCATCGCCTTCTCGCTACACTCAGAGATTCGACGAGCGCTGATAACTGGCTAGCGCTCCGCCTTCCGTTGAGTGCCACAAGCCTCCGGCGAACATCGGGACTGAGAACCTGGTGGCCCCATCGTCGCACAAATGACTTTGCGACTTCGAATGCGCGTTGTCCCGGTGCCTTCCCATGCTGGAGATGGCCGAGAAGACCGTACAGGGTCTTTGCCGTAGGCCGCAGGCCCGGAAAACAGTCAACCAAGTGGTATAAATCCCTCAAAGCGTCGTAAAATGAACGAGTGCCTATGCGAGGCCGTAGAGCGAGGTCGGCGTTAATGATGCGGATTGCCAGTGAACCGCGATAAGATGGCACCAGCGCGAACGTGACTCTCTTTGCAATGTCGTGTTGGCCCATGCGATGGAAGAGTTGCACAACCCTCAACGCCACTCCCGCAGATGGTCCGGGTTCATGCGAAGTATTGGTCTCACGAGGGCGCATACGCATGAGCATATCGTACTCGATACGCGAGCGCGGTCCTTCCTCTCGCTTCTCGCTTGAGCCCTTCGTACGCCGCGCGTGACCCAGTTGGATGCCGTGCAACAACTCCCGCCAGACGAGCGCGGGCACGCCCGGGCACCTTAATGCGACAGGTGCGCTCATCCAGTCAGCCTGAGCGCGAGAAATCTGCTGTACGGCCTCGGACCATTGTCCCCGCCGGACAAGCAGGCGCGTATGAAGGCGCCAAGTCTCGACGTCCATACCCACGCCGCGTTCTCCCATCTCATTCAGCAAAGTAGCCGCGAGGCCGAAAGCGCCGTGCCGTATTGATGTAGCAAGAACGAAGTTCCATGTTGACGTGGACTGTTGGGGCAGGAAGCTGTCGTGCAGGTGCAGAATGGAGCGCAGTGACGGACGGGGCCCTGAAACTTTGTACTGTTTGAGGAGCAGGAGCAAGTCGTGTTGATTATGGGGCGGTGTGTCTGCTGGACTTGGAAGATGAACGTCGTAAAAGATTGCGCGCGAGTCTGGGGTCGCGTCCGATACCGAATCTGGCAGAGGCAGATCTTTGAATGACGATGAATTAGGAGGATGTTCGGTAGCACGAGCCGGGTCAATAAAATCATTGAAGTCTTCGGGTGGATCTGGTATTAGAGAGCGGGGTCGATGTTCAGAGCCAGGCCGTGACCGACGAGGAGGCACAGAAGATGAAGCAGTTGACGAAGTACCAGCAGACCCCTGAAGATGGCTGGAAGGGGTTTGTAGAGTTGTGCGACGCTGCAGATTGGTGTCTGGGCGTCCGCCGGTATAGCTCTTCACCGCAGACTGCGGAGTCTGTCCGAAGGTCCGATGGGAAAGCGAGCGTCCACGCTTAACTCTAGTAGGAGATCCGCCGTCGGGCGACCCTGAGGTAGAGGTCGTAGGGCCCTGTACATCGTCGTCGCACAGCTTCGACGAGCACCGTTTCGCGACACTAAACGCAATTTACATATGGATCAAAATATGCGACAGTGCGACGTACTGTGAGCGTGCCACGTCTGCGCTCTCCCGGCATGAACGTCCGAGCGCCGTCTGCTGGTCCACTGCCTGACTGGTCATCCCGCTTTCCTTCGCAGCCCTTCTCATAGGCCCTTGTTGTTTTCTGAGATATCATACATGAGGCTGTCAACCCAGACACGAAGCCGAGAGGTGCGTACCGCGACAGCGTGCCGTCGGCTTCGCTCTCGATGTCGAAGAGATTGGCCGAGGTCGGGGCCCTGGCGAGCTGCGTTGCCACGCCTCGAGCCGACGGAGTAGCGATGTGGGCGCGCGTGAAGGCTCGCGCTGCTGCATCTCGCAATATGGACTGAAAGGGAGAAGAGAGCGCCGCGTTCAGCCGTGCAGCATGGTGGATCATGCATGGGTTGCTCCCTGCGTCACACGGGTAAGAAAAATCGCCAGACTATATTCTACTTTTTGACAGACCAGCAGCACCAGTTCTCAGGACTGTAGCGGGAGACTTTTGTGGAGCAGAGTTGGTGCAGTTCGGAGCAGGCGTCAACGTACAAGTTGGAGACGTGCCGCGTCGTGTTGTGACCGAGACGCGGGCTCACACGCATCAACCCGCTCGGTCACCCAAGATGGAAAGAAGCATATAATATTCCAGAAAGACGGTCCTTGCTTGTGATGCGAGAGCTACTAAATGTGGAATCATACAGGTGCGAGCCATGTGGTCGTAAACGGTCATGAAAAGGACAAACGAGAACGTGCTATGTGTGGTAGACAACGAGCAAAGAGACATACAGACCTACGTCCTAAAGTGATGGCAATAGTAAACGACCGGCGCCATGCGATCCAAAAGCTAATTCTGCCATTGCATATTGTTCTGCCCAGCAGAGCGGCCTGACAACCATCCAACCTTCTGCACCCAGCGATCCCGAACCTCCTTGAGCGCCTCGAAGCCATGATCCTTCGCCGTCGCATGCTCGTCCAAAGCGCGGACCCAGCCGTGCACTTCGGCCGCGCCGAACATGACGAACTGTCTGTTGACCAGGTCGTCCACGACGTCCACCCATGCGCGCCACTCTTCGAGCAGACGCGGTAGGAGCTGAGGAGCGAGTTGGGACTGCGTCAACGGCGGTTGGGACAGCATGTGGGATGTCAGGGCCTGTAGGAAGGCAAAGGCCTCGGTCACATGCGTCTTGTCCTTCGGGGCCGAGGTCGAGGCACCTGTGCCCTGCGCGCCAGGCGATGTGCTCGAGAAGTATCGGAGGTACGAGAAGCAGGTCGACACGTAGTCCTGCACGTGCGGCTGCAGGCGGGACACGACATACTCATCTCGCATGCCGCTTGTGCCGTCCGATTGATGTTGCTGTTGCGAGGCAGGCCGCGTGACGGTGGATCCAAAGCCGAACGAGGATGTTGAGCCGAAGCCCATGGACGACGAGGCAAAGGTTGGGGGCGGGCGTGGGCCAAAGAAGGACGATGTGGTTGAATACGGATAAGCGTCGCGCAGGCGCTTCGCTGATTGAGCCAGAGCCTGCACGGCGGCGTCAAGAGACGGGCGGGGGATGAGGGATAGGATCGTAGGTTTGAGCGACGGTTGGGCGTTCAACAAGGAGGTCAAGAGCGGCAGGAGCGATTGTGGTGGCAGACTCGCTGGGAGGACGGGTGAGTGAGGGAGCACGCGAGCACGAGCTTCGAGCACGACTGACCGAGCAACACGCCCACGTCCACGTCCTGCTCCTCCCCCTTGCTTTCCTTTCCAGAGCTTCCGTGTTTGTCCGATGCGGCCGGGGCGAGGCGGGACCGCTTGGGGAGCGCCGCGCGTCTGCGTTCGGGCGTCGGGCTCCTGTCCATCGCATCGTCCCGTCCTCCACGCTCGTCGTTCTCGTCGTCCTCCAGCCGCCTCTTGTTGCTCGACCGGCTCACCGGCACGTTCGGGCTCATGTGTGAGGCCAGCTGCTGGCGCACGGCCGGGCTCGTGAACGTGCTGTGCGAGTGGCTCATGTTCGACGGGTTCCAGGTCGGCGTGAAACCGAAGCCGATGGACGAAGGAGAGTCGGCCACCGGACGCTGCCGCGGAAAGTCGAGTTGGGGATGAGGGCTGAATGCGACATGCGCCATTACGCTGATGGTGGTGGTGGTGGTGGTGGTGGTGGTGGTGGTGAGAGAAACTGAAGAAAGCGACCGTGTGGTCGTCGTCGCCGCGAACACGCATGCCCTGACGCTTACATCTGAATCGTCCCTCGGCTGGGCCCGCCATCAATTGATGGCCACCTATTTGAAGTTTTCCGCCACTCATCTCCATTTGCTTCCCGCCTCCACCTTCTCGTTCGGTGAGTATCCTTCCCGATTTGCTCCAGCGCTGAGACGAGACAAAGAATGAATCGCTACTTCGAAGCTCTCGGGCTCATGAACTGTAATCATCTATACCCAAATTTCTGAGCCTTCGTCTGCCCTCTGGGACCACCATCGCTGACCACAAACACACTCCAGGTCCGAACATCTATCGCTCAATGCCAGTTTGCCTATCGCCTCTGTGAGTGTCCGATATGCCGCATACGCTCCGATAGGATGTACTATATAGAAGTCAAGCACTAAGCTCTACGAGGCGTTGAAGACTAAAATATTTCATGCTAAAACTGATCTCTCCCTGCCTCTTGTGTCTTCGATCGCTCGAACCCCACGCTGACCATCCTTTTCAGGTCTCCGTGTCAATCCGTCATAGTTTATATATGTATTCCGTGTATTTATACCTCGATTTTGCCGTATATCTTCATGCGCGACTGGCACTGAATTGCGTCGATCGCGAGCCCTTTCCTCGTTGAAGTCCCCATTGGCCAGTTCAGGAAATCACATTTGAGCGTAGACTCTACTATCTGCCTATTTCATCTGGCATCAGCGGAGAGCGTCTTCAAGATACACGGAGCTTTCACGCGTTTTGACTGTACAGTAACTGCTGTTGCCTGGTAATACCATCGGACAACGCGTTCACCAGATATCGACATTACATAGAAGTCACGAGCTACGCGTATATGTAAATTAGATACATGCAATGAGATGAGATGGCGCGGGTATGTAACGAGATGTCCATTTACGTGCAGCGAAGGTCATCTAAGGATGAGGTGGTGGCGGTGGCGGATACGACCAAAGCATATTCAGTACCCACATTGCGCCCAACCCGATGGCTACTTTCACACCACCTCCAGGTTGCCACTCGGTATCCCCGTACCACACACGCAGGCCGGGTGATGGAGGTGCGTTGGGCGGTGTACTCGGGCCTTCCGCGAGCCGGTCCACCCATCGCTGGCGGCGCGGGGTTGGAGGCTCCACCAGATGCGCAGCCTCGTCATCCTTGGGCTGGATAGGACTCGGTTGCTGCAATTCGATCGTGGGTGCCGCGTTCCGGTCGTGACGGCTGCTCGATGTGAGGTCCGCGTTTGTACTCGGCAAGCCTTTACGTGCCGTGGTGCCGCATATCCATTTGGTAAGCTCGCTGGTCGCGTTCGAGACATGGTGGCTAACGAAGACGAACATGACGGCAGTAACAAGCATGTTGAGACTACGCCAACGCGTCCATGGGAGTACGATGAGGATGCCCTTGGTGTCGGCAGCCAGCCATAGGTGGTATTGGATGATGAATGTCTCGAGCGAGCAGCGTCCAATAAAGGCGAAAGCGCGAGAGGATGCAGAGCGTAAGATGGCGTTGGCATTGCGCAGGACAACGAAAGCGAGGACCGGGAGGAAGGAGATATAAGGATGCCACGCGTTGTATGCAAACTTGTCCGGCTGCGTGAGTTCGAAGCCGAAGAACCATAGCATGACGAATCCAGACAAAACTGTTGCGGCTTTAGACACCAGAGTCCACTGCGGATGATCGGTCAGCCGGTGCTGGCCTATCTTGATGACAAGCACCGCAACAGCCATTCCCACATAGACGATCCACAGGTCGAGATTGACGCGGAAGGCCCATTCGCGCGCTGACCAGTGAATGCCGCAGAAGCGCTCAAGGACGTCGAAGAGTCCCGTCAGTAAGTACGGCTGGCTCATGAACCAAGTCACGAGCGCCATGGATCCCGCGATCTTCAGCACGACGAAGACTGCGCGATCGTTGTACTGGTGTCCGGCGTACATAGTGCCGTAAATGATGAAGTACCACATCGTCACCAGCGGTGAGAAATAGTAGCCGATATAGTCCGCGTTCATGACATAGGCCAGAAAGAGGGTGAACAGATTAATGCGGACCACGATCTGCGCCTACTATGAGCATTCATCTCAAGGCGACGTATCGAAGAACCGACCTGCGCTACACGCGTGAAACCGAAGTCGGCCTTCTTGAGGTAGAAGGAAGTATGCCCGTATCCGGTCATAAATAGGTATGCCGCCACAAGAACGCGGATGGAGTTGTAGATCCCCGAGATCTTCGACGCGCCATAATAGTGGTAGATTAGAATGGCGACTGTTGATCTGCGCGTGAGGATCTTGTAGACGTCAGAGCGTAGAGAGCGTACCTTGCATCCAGCCCTTCCATTCATCTGTCTGTTCGCGATTTAGGAAACCTAGATCTTTGTCCGCTTGTTTCACCGTTCCGAGCCCTACGGCCAAGCAAATTAGGTTCACCGCCGTGAACGCCCATGAGTCAAAGCTTTTCTGTTCTTTCAACCAGAATCCTGTTCTGTCGGCTAGGTAGACGAGCGCGAGAGCGCCACTGATCACCAAGGAGGGGAGTTGATCTTCAGCTACGAGGGGGGCGCTGGGAGATCTGTACCCTGCGTAGTGCTGTCAGTGTCTGGCTGGGACGACCCGAGGAATGACTCGCCGTATCGACGCGAAAGAAGGAGTGTGTAAGGGCCCCAGAGCACAATGGCTGCAAGCACAATGGCATGCAGAATGGTGGGGCGAGGATAGCTTCGACAACATGTCTTGTCCATGGGAAACGCTTTCGGCAGGCGATCGTTGCAGTGCGAGTTGAAGAGTATGTTTGCTTGCATGCGTACGACGGGATCGGAGAAATGAAGCCCGTCCTCGGTCTGGGACGGATCCAGCATGGCGTTGAATACGGTAGGGAGTGTGATGGGTACAGATGGCCGCCTGGGTTGGAGGTAGTCCAGGTAACTCGGTCGGTCGGGGTGAATTCGGAAATACAGGTCTGAGTTCATGGCGTCGCGGTCCGAGCCCAACATGGTCGCGGCACGCTCCGGCGAAAGTTTTGTCTCCACTACGTCTTCAATGGGTAGCACAAAGATCTGATCGGCAGGTCGAGTGGCAGCCTGCGAGATTGCGTCCAAGACGACCTTCATCTTCGCCTCCCACGCAGGCATGCCGCCTGAAGACGAAGCGTAACGCAGGTACCACAGGCCAGTGCCGATGACGAGTACTGCCGGGCGTGATCTCGGAGATGCGGACAGACGGGCTGTCAACGCGTCGACGTGTGACGAGTTGAGGAAGGGATCCCAGAAGAATGACAGCTCGGTTCCCGACGCCGAGCGCAGATGGTGGTCCGCATGCTTCTGGTCGTCATCGGGTACGGTGGTTGGCAGCCGAGAGTCTAGTATATTCGCAAACTGAAAGAAGAGCTTTCGAGTGACAGAGTCGCCGATGAATACCGCGGTCCGGCGGTCCAAGCACGTCTCCGCGTCCGCGGCTCTGTACGAATGCATCATGCAGCCTGGGCGTCATGGCCTGAGTAACGAAAGATAAAACGGGTCAGCGGCATGTGCGTACCATCAGGCTGCCAGTTCTTGAAGCCATGCCCTGACCAGCGACCGCTCGTGGCGAGTGCCTCGCAGTGTATGGGGTCTGATCTGTCTTGACGCCCGTTAGCGACCTGGCTGACGTCGTGGGGCTGGGTGCATACCGATCAGCAAGAAGCGGACGAGGCCGAGGAAGAGTGCTGTAGCGAGCGCAGCAACCGATGCATAGGTCGGTAGTTGTGGACTGAACGAGAAGGACCGGAAGCGTGAGCGCATGAGAGGCTGAGACGAACCGCGTCGCTGCGCGCCAAGGACGCGCGCAGTTCGTGAGGCAGTACGTTAGCTCGACCTCCGCCATATATTTATCTTCCACCGTCCGACCCATCGCCCATCGCTTTACCTCCGACCGTCATGGCCAATTATACGCGCTCACCCCCTCACTATCCCGAGACCTTGACTTCCTACGGCGACACGAGCTCGCACTATCCTCCGACCGAGCCCTTGACCGATCCAACGCACGTCAACCATGGGCCTATCTCGCCTCTTTCACCCGGAGAACCGTACGGGCCCTGCTGCCCACTCGTCCATTCGTACCTCATCGTCGATTATTTTCAGGACTCCCAACCCTCATGATCAGAATGCCAACGATGATTTCTATAATCGCCACATGTCCTCTGGGACTGACGTTGACGAGGTGTACAATCCATACTCTGACGAACCGGCGAAGCCTGGATACTCGGACGCATCGTTGGTGCACAATGCCGCGGGGTTCAGTGGCGTGAAGGATTACAGGGATCCAGGTATGTGCAGCTCCCACAATCAAGTACCACGACGGTTTCATCGCGCCGCAGAGTATATTGCCCCCGCAGATCATCCTGGCGAGTCTGCGCCTCTGGTGAAGGATATGGGTGCCGTCGCTAGCGTATCTCCTTGGCGGCGCTTACTAGGAGGCGGCCGATACCCCCTCGAGCAACGGATCGATCAGAAACGACGAGGCATAGGCAGGCAAAGATACCCCTTTGTTTGTAAGTACCATACAGCGCCTCGAACCCTACTCGAGCTCACAATCGTAATCAAGCTTGGGTTCTCACAGTCGTTATGGTTGCCGTATTCATCTACGAGTTGGTCGTCAACTCTCAACAGCAAGGAACGCCAGTATCCTTCCATGTATGCCTTCCACGCATATCCCAGCCATTCACGGTAACGCTGACTCTTGCTGCATTGAACAACAGCCTGTGGTCAACCCTATGCTTGGTCCGTCTTCCAGCGCGTTAATCAATGTCGGCGCTCGCTTCCCGCCTTGTATGAAAGACGTCACTACAGTACCGATCTCGACACAGTTCCCTTGTGCGTTGTACTCTCGGTACCAGTCGTGAAACTGATACCGATGTCTTGGTCGTAGGTATGAACGACACGGCGAATCCACCAGATCGTATCTGTACCTTTGAATCCTTGTGTGGCTTCGGCGGAGTTGCTGCAAACGAAACGCCCGATCAGTGGTGGCGATTCATCACGCCTATCTTTCTGCATGCCGGTTTTGTGCATATCTTGTTGAACCTGCTGGCACAGTTGACTGCGGGCGCTCAGGTTCGTCTATTCTTTGCAGTGGGAAGAGCAAGGATTCACTCTCATCCATCGTACAGGTCGAAAAGGAGATGGGTTCAGCAGGCTTCTTCCTGCTCTACTTCGCCGCCGGAATATTTGGGTAAGCAGGTGCTGCGTCTTCAATAGCTGTGCGGATGACTGACGATCTCATCTCGCTCCCAGTAATGTCCTTGGCGGAAACTTCAGCTTGGTCGGTGTACCGTCTGTCGGCGCTAGTGGCGCTATCTTTGGAACCGTCGCCGTTGCCTGGGTAGACTTGCTCGCCCATTGGCGCGTCGTCTACCAGCCGGGACGTAGGCTTGTGTTCCTAGTTATCGAACTTGTCCTTGGTATTGCCGTCGGGTTTATACCCTACGTCGATAACTTCGCTCATCTCGGAGGTCTTCTGATGGGGCTCCTTTTCGGCATGATGCTGTATCCCATCATCAGCCAGACTCCGCGGCATAAGCTCATCGTTTGGGTCTTGCGTATCGCTGCAATCCCGCTCGCGATTGTCTTGTTCGTAGTCCTCATTCGCAATTTCTATAAATCGGATCCATACGCTGCCTGCTCCTGGTGTCGTTACCTGTCCTGCATCCCCACTAGCGCGAACAATCAATGCAAGGGCACCGGTGAGTTTCGAAACTGAACTTGGTTCCACCACGCCTGAATGCTGACCCATTACAGGCCTATCCTATACTACTACCACAAGTACGAACACGTGAAGTGCTCGATACTTTACTTACACATCCAAAGTTTGTATACTATACGCACACACCCTTTTTCACCCATCGGACAATCTGACACGGACGTTGGATACCTTACGAGCCCTTGCCTAGCCCCGTATATTTTTTATAAAGCTATCGCTTTCCGCAAGGGCCTGTTCTGTTCGCAGTTGTAAGGAAAGCTCCGTGATTAGGTATCCGGAGGGATACACTCGCGTTGCTGAGGAATCGTTTCCCTCGCTGCTGTACGCGTAATGGTCGTACAATCCAGATTGAGGAATTGAACGTATCGATAGAGTGTAGCCGCATCGCCCCACTGGGCTTACCACAGGCTGTATACGACTGACTGTCAAAAATAAGGTTCCCTGATTCTGAATCGCGGTCACGCATCCTGCATGATCATCCACCTGGTCGTTCACCGACTCTCCGCCGATAGAATTGTTCGCGCGCTCACGAACAGCTCACGATCTATTGTCGAGGCCAGTTGAAGGCGATCACGCTATGCCGACTCTGGATCACTGTCAAAGCTCAATCAGAGCTGGGCTAAACACACGGACGGCATTGCAGAGACATGCAGACATCCTTCGTACCGCCTTTCTTTGATGCACAAACCAAACTCAGTGCATGGTGTCGCTCTACTCAGGAGATGGCGTGAAAGCACTGGGCAGTCATACGTACCAAAGCGGCGGAAACTCGTAGTCGCCTCGGTCAACTAACACACAGCGTTAACGTTCTTGATCACACCGTCCGCCTTTCTTACCAGAAAAAGGATCGCGCGGAGCAGCGGTCACCTTGGATTTGATGTACGGTGTCTATCGTGAGCAGACACGAGACATTTGGGGCGCCCACGGGGGAAGGGCGTGCAACAGTACCTACGTGTACCTGCATGGTCCTTGGAGGCTTCCGAGCGCTCGTTGAGCGGATGCAAGGACCGTTGACTCGGGTTTCCGAATTCCGTACGATCCTTCTCCATCCAATGGTCAGAAACCAAAGGTAATTGTAGTGGTGCATATGGCATAGTAAATCGCGGGGCAGGTATGCAACGCGTGTAGACGAGGGCCGAATGCAAGCCACGTACGGCCGAAGCGAGCCGGCTTAGGACACCGTGGGCGGCGGGTCGCGTTCTGTGCATCATCATGGCGTTTGAGCCGTAGGAGATGTCAAGTTTTCGGAACCTCGACTCGAGCGGTCATCAGCCTTGCGCAGTGACTGGCCCCGCTATATAAACCAAACCATCATGGCGAACCTGAACCAGTACCAGTACCCAGACATGAGCTCGCCTGTCGCGATCCCCGTCCGGGCGTCCGTGCCCGCGCCAGGCTACTCTACCATCTCCGTCTCGCCGACGGGCGCACAGTCGCTCTATTCGCGCAGGAACGAGGCCTCGAACTCTGCTTCTTCGATCCGAGTGCCGCGGGTGCTGCACCCGATCGACAACGAAGACCTGCGTCTGCTGCTGCTCGAGAACATCAGCCAAGACGCCGTCGCGGCCTTCCGCCAGCAAGGCTTCACCGTCGACCACAGCACCAAGGCCATGTCCGAGGACGACCTGGTGAAGAAGATCGGCGACTACCACGCCATCGGCATCCGCTCCAAGACAAAGATCACAGAGCGCGTCCTCAAGGCAGCAACCAAGGTGAGACCGCGCCGTCTGTCTGACAATTGGCGTATTGTTTGGCTCAGCGCTCCCCGCACCAGCTTCTCGTCATCGGCTGCTTCTGCATCGGCACAAACCAGGTCGACCTCCCAGCGGCCGCCAAGGCCGGCATCCCGGTCTTCAACTCGCCCTTCTCCAACTCGCGCTCGGTCGCAGAGCTCGTCATCTCCGAGATCATCGCGTTGGCCCGCCAATACTTCGAGCGCGCGTTCGAGATGAAGATGGGCACTTGGAACAAGCAGTCCAAGGGCTGCTGGGAGATCCGCGGCAAGACGCTCGGCATCGTCGGCTACGGTCACATCGGCTCGCAGCTGTCTGTACTCGCGGAGGCATTTGGCATGCGCGTACTCTACTACGACGTGCTCAACCTCATGCCGTTGGGCTCAGCCCGCCAGGTCGACTCCCTCACCGCCCTCCTCACCCAGTCTGACTTTGTTACCCTCCATGTGCCGGAACTCGACGAAACCAAAAACATGATCTCGACCGAACAGCTGGCACACATGAAGCAGGGCGCATACCTGATTAATAACGCCCGCGGCACCGTCGTCGACATCCCTGCCCTTGTGCAGGCCTTGAAGTCAGGCCATCTCGCCGGCGCTGCGATTGACGTGTTCCCATCGGAACCTGGCTCGAACGGCGCTCCCTTCGACGATGCCCTAAACGGCTGGTCGAGCGAGTTGCGTTCACTCAAGAACGTCATCCTCACCCCGCACATCGGTGGCTCGACCGAGGAGGCGCAGAGCATGATCGGCGAAGAGGTTTCACTAGCGCTTTCACGCTACCTTAACCAGGGGACGACCATGGGTGCTGTCAACTTCCCTGAGGTCGACCTACGTGCGATTGACGCCGACAAGCCGCGTCACATCCGCGTCTGCCATGTCCACGTAAACCAACCGGGTGTGCTTCGCATCGTTAACGAGGTCCTTTCGCCCTACAACGTCGAGAAGCAGTTCTCCGATTCGAAGGGCGACGTCGCTTACCTCATGGCCGATATCGCCGACGTGTCCCCGCAGGACATCAATCGTCTGCGCGAGCAGATCAGCACAACAAAGGCGAATATCATCACGCGTTTACTCGCGTGAGTGTACGCGGCGCGTTTTGTCGTGTGACCGCGTCGCTCGGTGTCTCCCAGACGCCATCCTTCGAAAAGCTCTTATCTTGCTGTGATCGTGCTCATCGGACACCACTCAACTGGTCTTGTTACCTGCACGAATATCTGGATCCACCCTGCTGTATGATACCGTGGCACCTGACCTGTAGTAGAACAACATTGCTGTACATTCAACACTGTAATAACCCACTCCTCTGTGCTAGCACCCATATCTTTACCACCCTGCTGCTCCTCGCACTTCAGTGTCTAGGCACTTTCGGAGGTGATGTTTCGTCTCGCCAACCGCCCAGTCCTCCGTCTTTCCGGGCTCCAAGAACGGTAGGACAGCTACTTCAGCTATTGACTTGAATAGATCTTCGAGGATCCACGTAAGCCGGGGTCCGGTGAGCTCGATCGCGGGCTCCGCGTTGATCTCTAGAAGCTTCACTTGGAAATATGGCGTGCTTGCACCAGAGGGTGTTTCATCGGAGACCAGGAAGTCTATCCCGTAGAGCTCGAAGGCATTGGGGGCGGGCTACGTTTACATCAGGGGACGCGGATCATGAATGAGGTCAATATTCTTCACCTGGAAGTGTATAGGTGTCGCGAGGGCCGCCTTGAAAGTTTCTGCGAGTGCCTCGGCCATCTGCGCATGGATCGCTTGCAAGTGCTCTTCGCTCAAGTCTGTTCGATCGCCCGACCTAGACAGGATCTTCAAACCCACGAGCTCATCGAGTAAGCGTACTCCTTCTTCGCCTTTGTTGGCTTGCAATGAAGTGTTCGTGAGGTGAGGAGCCAAGTCAACATTGGCGACCTCATTTCCGTCCCCCGATTGCGGTGATTCGTAGGCTTTTGAAGAAAATAGGGCTAGTATGCGCGTGTACATGTACAGGCACATGGCACCCGTTGCAACACAGTACACTCGAAGGTGAAACTAAGACTTCTTCAGTCTAGGCGCTGCTTGCATGAGTCATATCTTTCGAACCTTATGCCCCTCAAGCTTCTCTACTTCAGGTGGAGACAAAGTAGAACGCGGATCAACTAGAAGCGGCGTGTCGAGATATTCCTATGCCATCATGATGAGGGGTAATGCAAGGACGAATGATAAGATGAATAATCAAAACCTGTATCACGAAGTGTCTGAGTTGCGAAGTCATAACGGCCGTACTATCCCGTCCTGCTTGGTCGTCCTCATCGCAACTATCCTCCTCAAAGCCTTCGAATATCTGCTGCAACGCATCTTTCGAGTTGAACAACCTAATCCCCTGCCCACGGTCCGCCATCCCGGGTTTCAAGATGAACCACCGTTTCCCACCCTCGTTCTCCAAAGCTTCTCCCAGATCCCACAACTCATCGGCCCACATATCATCCAGCTCATCCACAAAAGATAGCTCAAGTTCCCAAGTTTGTGGCGCAACGCTGGAAAGTACTGACTCGGGATGCTTCACGAGATAGGAGTGGATACATCTCGAGAGATAGTGCTTTCGGATGAGGGCCTTGCGAAAGACGTAGGAGGAGGACAGGACGTAAGAGGGACGTTGATGCGTTAGATCGTGGTCGATTGCGTCGTATGTAGCCCATTGCACGAGCTTGTCCTCAGAGGAATTGGTTGGCGTTTGGGTAATCAAGCTCGAGCCAAGTCCAATGTGATCGAGAGCGCTCACGACCAGGCGATTTGTTAGAGGAGCCCCAGGCCAGGAAACGAATGCGCTGACACCTTCTCTTGTCATGCTCCTCAACCAACGCCAGATCTGCCCCGTCGCGACGAAGATTGGAGCTTGGTGGTTGTGGACGAATGTCAACAGGCAAATCGGGCTTTGATTTGCGCCGCGGCGTCACGATAAGCAATTGTGTGACCTGACGCGTCATGTCTTTGCACTTCCAACCGCTGTGTGCTGCGAACGATCATCATGGACGCGACGCAAGCGCTCAAATCTACTACCGCTGAGATCCTAGTCGACCTGAAGCTTAGCTCAGAGTCTATGGACAGTAACATCACCCCTATGCCCGCTCTAGACGGAACACCTGCTCAAGTTTCCTGGTGACGGCTCGCCGGTGCTCGCTAGTCGCGAAACCGCCGAAGCTGCCGTTAATCAAACGTTCGGATCGCCGCCTGACGCTCTAAGCTCGGGATTGCACCCCTCGGAGTCGCTTTCTAGAGATGGTGCCTCCTGGGGTAAACCTGGCGCATCGCGTATTTCGGCACAAGTCGCACACCGTCTTCTGTCGTCACGAGCCTGATACTGCCGGCGAGAACGCATGCACATTCTTCCTGAGCAAGTCCTCATATGTAGGCCCCTCATATGTATACCGAAAAGCAGAAGATATGCGTGCGGATGGGCGACAGAGGTAGCGGTGATGAAGCTTACACTCATAGAGGGAGACATGTAGGAGGAGCTTAACCTGAATCGGCGGGAAATATACGCGATACTATCGACGAAGTCAATCAAGATTCAAAGAATCGACGAAGATAACGGTAATTTGCATATCGTACTAGCCACGATGTAAATTCTTTGCTCTTTCTGTGATTCCCGAATTTCTCTTAGCGTCGGGATCTCTCCGCTATCTGGACATAAGGAGGCAGATCAAACATTAGGAAAACGGCCCGCACCTGGAGCGATGACAGCAGTAGCAGATCTATGACAAGTATGACAGTTTCGCTCATGATATTCTCATGTATAATCTCGCATTTGCTGTGTCTCCGCAGCAACGATTTATTGCCGTTACTATTAAGGCCTACTGATTCACGTTGGATTTGCGCGTATCTTACATTGGACTGACTCCCAATGATATCAATGGACGCTTGCTATGTTCTGCGGGCAGACTAGGGTCGCTACACCAGTCTACGTATCGTTGATGTCATAAAGTTCGAATTCTGCTCCTGGACGGGATATGCTTGGGTGAATACATTTGCCAGTCCACCGAACGATTAAGGTCATGAGAAGATGTAAAAATCAGTATAGTCCGCGATTTCGACCAATAGAGATATGTACGGAAGATGGTAGGAGGATTAGGCGAATGCCGATATAAACACTAAGCAAATTTGCCGACGATAAGTAATATTATGAGATCCTCATCCGATGCAAACACTCAAAACCCGTGGTTCATCACATCACCGCATCTCCCGCAAACGGTTGATAACGTCGTTCATGTCGACTTCACGACGGTGGTCATGGCGAGACCAGAACTTGCCTGCCGGCGCCTGTATGCGCACGTCAACTCCATCGAGTGAGGGCTCTCGCTGCGGCATCTTTGGCGGGGGAGGGTCGGCCTGTGCGGTCGCCACAGAAGGTCGTGGGGTAGACGGGGTGGGCTCGAGTGACTGTGACAAGTCGTGTAAGTCGACCCCGAAGAAGCGCGAAAGCTTCGCAGCGCGCATACGGCGTTGACGGAAGGCTTCCTTGGGCTCCACGGGAGACAGATCGTCTTCTTCGCCATGCGCGCCGCTCGCTAGGGCTTCCACTATTGGCGCGGCGGGAGTAGATGGATGGCGTCTGTGACCCTTCATTGGAGGAATGTCGTGAACGGTCGCTATGGGCGAGGAAGGTTCGGATGTGGTTGAGACGCTCGTGATAGAGTGATGTTTGGCTGCGCGCGTGGCAGGATTCTGCACGGAGAGAAGATCTGCGGAAGAAGAGATAGAGTATATCGTTGCGCCAGAAAGGCGTTTCTCGACGAATGACGATACATATAAGGCTTGCGGAGGCTCCGAGCCGAACATCTGTGAAGCCGGGGCACCGTCACCCGACTGGCGCGAGAGTCAACGCAGTGGTACGTACATGGTTGAGCTTACGCGCACGCTTTATGCTCAATGACCTTTGTGTCCTCGTCATCCGCTGCGAGTCTCCGAAGTGGCTGTTCTCTTTCAGATCACGAATCACAGCATCCCGGTCGGATTTGACGTCCTCTCGCTGCCCCGAACCCTTCAATTTGACCTTATTCTCCCGGAGCGACCTTGCTCGTCGGTGTGACGTCTCTTCGCGCGGGGCGGTTGACGGTCGCTTTGCGCTAGATGCCGTAGAAGGCCGGGCCGTAGCGCTCACCCGAGGTCGTGGGTCGGGCCGAGCGTCTTCCATACTCCGCCCGCGCCTCTTTACAGCCACTGAACGAGCCGAGTTGGAGCGCGTGAGTTGGCCAGTATCGCCCTGAACCAGAACTTGAACCTCAGATCGGGAGTTAGGGTCGGCGGGTAGGGCGGGAGTCGGCAGTTTCGTCTTCACGCTCTTCATACTCCTTGCACTCCGCTCGGAGCGCGCGTCAAAGGATCTACGCGGGGTAGGCGAAGTGATGTCGGGGGCCAAGGGCGGGGCAATGAACCCAGGCGTTGTACTTGGGGTCGACGATGCCGACGCCGGGATCTCAGGCACCGGGGGCGCAGCCTGTGGCGTTGGCGCCGCCAGGGACGGCGATGTAGGGCGGACATTGAGCGTCGGGCGCGAGCGCGTACGAGGTGCAGGCCGGTGCAGTCTGTTTCCCGTAGGCATGAGACTAGAGCTACGGGTGGGCCTCTGCACCGGGCGCACATCGTCGCGGGAGGGACGGTAATTCGATTGAAGGTCCTCCTCCTTCATGGAGGGCATCTCTCCGAATATCTGGCTGATCTTGCGGGCCTGCTTCAACAATCGCGTTTTCTCCTGCGCGCCCAGGTCATTGACAGTTGGTAGAGGCGCCGGGGTTTCCATGGCATGAGGCGAACGTGGGGCTGGCGAGGATAGCAGCGGACTGCGAGGTGACGGCGTGATATGGGACGGCGTAACAGGCAGACTAGTCGTCGAAGAAAGGCCGAAGGCGTCAATGGAGCCCATGGATGATATCTGGGTCGATGTACTGCGGTTCTTGGACGAGTCGTGCGTCGAGCCGAACGACAACATGAGTGAGAGGCGATTTCTGCCTTTCTTCAGACCCGCAGCCATGATAAGAGCAGTGTGAGTGAATGGAAGAAGCAACGAAGGAGTCTGTAGGAGAGAGGCGACACGGGAGTGGTAACGGGATTAAATCCAGGGCCAGAGGGAGAGGAGCCGAAGTTTAAGATGCCAACCAAGCCTCTCCGGCGGTCCCACAATCTCGGGCAGGTTGATATCGACGGCGCAGAAGCCCCGTAAGTAAGGTTCCGAACGGCCCGAGATATAGTGCTCAGGCTGGTCATTATTTCGACGCATGGATACTATCAACGCCTACACACCAGGGGACGCAAGCGGTGCTCAACCTGGCAGGATGGGTATGTCGGTCGCGCGCAGAAGGTCAACCGCAAGCCTCAAGCGCCTACCGACGCTCCGATCGCAACGCCATCAACTCGACAATCATAACCTAATCCTGGCGCACATCAACTTCGCGAAGCCTGGTCCTGAGAGTTCCTGGGCGCTTTCTAATACTGATTGGCCGGACAGGGCCGAACCTGATTTGTAAGAATCATCCGGCGAACAGTAATACTTCAAAGACCGCAATCAACGTAAAGGAGGGAATAAAATAATGATACTCGCGAGTTCAACATGTCGTTCGTTCCGCGAGGAACCAATAAGCCAGGAATAGTAGTGGGACGGCAGTGTACGGTAACAGGGTGAGTTGAGGGTGAGACATCGAGTATGTAAAAGGAGCGATAAGTAAGGAAAGGGTTCGGGAAAGATTGCCACCTGGGAAACCGGAGCGTATAAAATCGTGTGGATCCAGTCCGCCGGCACAAGCTAGAATACAGCCAACAGTACTGGGCCATGTCATGCCTTGTCATGATAGGAAGGACGCGACGTAATCGCCCGCTGGCACGAATCCAGCCGCACGTTCGTCCGCAGATTGCACACTCCTCAAACTGGGTTGAGGTCGATGTGTGCGCGACAAGCGCAAATCCGAAGGCACCTGAACGAGCGACACGCGTTTTGCGGCGCGAGTCCGGTGCCATTCCTCCGCCTCTTCCTCAGGCTGACTTTCCCTCGCTGTAACAAAGCGTTCATGCCCCGACGCGGAAGACGGTCTTGGACTATGTCTTGCACTACCCCGGTCCGATGAATGTCGCCGCGCAGCATCTGAAGGCGTGGACGCGTTTACAGAATGCGAAGAACGCGTCTTGTGTGAATGGGAGCGTGCGATGGCCGTGGCGCCATTACCGTTGCCACTGCTAGACGTACCCGTACCCATACTAGGCGAGAATGGGAACGAGCTCGTAGACGAAGACATGCGCTCCTCGAGCAGTGGTGTAGCGAGTGGCGAATCGGTGATACTCGAGTTGCCGTCATTCGCGGGCGTATCGCATTCGAACTCCAGAGCTGAATGGAACGAATCGTTGGTGCTCGTCTCGGGAACGTGCGTCGGCAGTGAGCTCGGCGAGCCATTGGACTTTTCAGGCTCCTCGATATGGAGGGAAAGCTTCTTTCGAGAGACCGGAGCTGCGCCGCGGGTCTGCAGGACGTCTGTGGCAGCCTTGAGTGCGAGGAACTTATTCCTCCTCCAGTCTCGTGCCTCGGCAAGAATATCGTCCGCAAGTATTTCACGTTGACATGACAACCGCGCCAGCTCCAGTCTTCTTGCACGGACACGCTGAGAAGACATGATGGCGGCTGCCTGAAGTCTGTCGCGCGTGGATCGCTGGAAGGGTGTGAGGATGGCGACATTGCGTAGGACGAGCATGTCTGCATCCAGCTCGGCTTGTACGGCGTCGATACGTCCCTCCAAGGCCTTGATTTTTTCCCTCACAGCTTGCGCCCGCGAGCCCGGCTTCCCTTCATCGGGAGAGCTCGGCGAACTAGACGCACCCGTCCACGGTGGCTGGATTGCAGACTCGAGGCTGAGAGCCCTCGGTCTCGTTACGTAATCATCCGTTGAGGGCGTACGTCCAGCGGCCAGATCCGCTTTAACCTGGTCAAATGTCGCTTTGAACTGTTGTGCACCATCAATGATTGGGGCAGTAGGTGCGTCAAATGCGACGGTAGCGGCACGAGTCTGGCGCGGATGTACGTGCCCATCGGAAGGTGCAAGGCTCGGTGTCGAAGGGGGCGAGGCAGTAAGCTGTAGAGCATGATCGCCTGTGCTGGAGCTCCCTTGCGTTGACGTTGACGGGCGCGCATCCCATGCTGCACGTACTCGTTGAGCCGGTTCCTCGGTAGCGTGCTGCGTGCGTATATCGCGCAGATGAGACTTGGCTGCGGCGACACCCATAAGTTGCACGTCCTTGCCGGATAAGCCGAGAGGCCTCATGCGTACGCCGGTGGACTTGAAGGTGCTAGCATAGTTGATGCGGCAGATCCACGCGTTCATGGTCTGCTCGTTGGGTGTACGCAAACGGATCTGGCGCCCATCTCTCATGACGAGTAACAGTGTATGCAGATCCGCGTCCTGATCTTGGTAGTCTGGCTCTGACTGTCATGTGATCAATATCGAGTCTCCAGTCGGGTTCACGAAGGTAGCGTCGACCGCACACACCTTTCCATAGCTGCTATCGTGAACAGCGATCGCATCCTTGATGTTCAACACCTCATCAGGCCTGAGAAGGGACGAAGGTGGCATGAACAACTGTTCTGCGCCCGCTGCGGCCTGATCCTGAAGATGCGTCGCCCAGACGGGGTCTCGAAAGAACAATAACTGTGTCGCAGTCAAGACGACACTCCATTCGCGCCACTTGCGTGCTGGAGCGCGCTTTCCGCCTTCGAGCGAGATGTCTCGACGTTGCAAGAGCCCAACGCTCGCGACTTTGAGGACGACGTCACGATCCGACGTCATGTTGACAGATTCAGATTCGGGGATCGCAACGAAGCCGCCGACGCTCACGGCGAAAACAGATGTTGACGCGCGCCTGGCTTCTGAAGACACCTCGATAACGCCGGCGCGCGCAAAGGACATGCGCAGCTCCTCCACGTCAAAGGTTCTGAGCGTTCCATGGTACGAGAAGGGATCTTCAAGCGGACCGATGGCCCCTGCATCGACACGGAGAGGTTTCAGCAGGTTCTGAAAAGTCGTCATCAGTGTTATATGATCGTGACATTGAGGGACACGCACGTTGGTGATGAGATAGTACGGGTCGACTTTATTGCTCTTGCCAATGAGTGTGAGGGAGCTACCGTTGGCGGCCGGTGCACTGCCATTAGAGACGGTCATGCCCGGGAGAAACCGAGAGGACGACTCGGAGGCGAGTCCACGATCCAGAGGATCCTCAATGAAGATGAACGGTGCGAATACAATGTTGTCGTAAAAGCACTGAATATAGGAGGTCAGAATAGAGCACATGCTCAGTGCCTCGACTACATACGTCGAGCACCTCCGAAGGCACACCGGGAAGCCGAGTGTTTTTCATGTAGTCCGCTTTTGTCATCTTGCGCTTATTAGATTTATTGAAGGCGTCGGTGTGAAGCATAATTAGGCTAAAAGCAAGAATGTAGGGGTGATCTATGTACGCGTAAGCATATGCTATCCATCACTGATAATCAATCTCACCTTCGGACTTGTACAGATCGCGGTGGTCCTGATGGTACCGCTGCGCGAAAGCCTCCATGACACGGTCGATTTGCTGGGTCTCACGCGGGAGGCCGACATGCATAAGTAATCTGCGCACAGCAACGTCCAACGAGTCCTCAGCAAACTCGAAGCGATGGATGTAGGTGCGCAGGGCCCGAGTATGAAAGTCGTCTCCGCTCGAGGCCAGCACGCCTGCGACATCCGCTTTCGAGACAACCTCTGTAAGCCGATCCAAATATTCCTCGGGCGTCTCCTCTCCCACATTCGGTCTGGGCGGCGGTAACGATGTCCTGCTTGTGGAATTCCGCGGCGACGCTGTGGGAATGGGTGAAGACGTTAACGGGTTAGACCTGTCCACTACAGGTGACACGGCTACAGCCGAGGAGTTGCCGAACGAGAATAGGTTCACAGATAATCGTCGTAGCAGCGGCGCATTGGAAGTCGTACGTTGACGCGGTAGAGCTTGTATTGTTGGCGGTTCGTCAGGTTGCGGCATAGGCACTAGTAATGGTGGAGGCAGCTTGCGAGGCGTAGGTAGGGGATAGTCCTGTGCCGGGGGACTGGAGGGCTCGACGTAGAGTGATTTGGCTCGTGGACGATCCAAAGCGCCACCTGCGGTAGATGGCCTGCGCGGTGTTCTTCGTGTTCCAGGTTCCTTTGAAGATTTGGGAGATGAAGGCGACGTGGGGGGAGAGGCGGTGTAGAGAGGGGACGAGTTGTAATTGCGTTTGTCGGAAGCTCGTCGCACAAGCCTGGGAGGAGATAGTGCTGCCTCTTCCGAAGGAAGCATAGACGAGGATGAGGATGCCATGCTGCTGTCCCAATCAAATGGTGATACCGGTGGGAGCCTGGGAAGTATGCTCGGTATGACGGGGGAAGGCGTCGGCTCCGGCTCTTTCTCCTTTGCAAGCTGCTCGGCACTCTTATTCGAGTCGTAGCGTCTACGCTTCCAGAACGAGGGTCGCCGAGACATGCCGGCGCCCTGACGGGGCGGCGTGACATCAACTGGTAGATCGGGTCGACTGGTTTGGACTGTTATGAATAAATGAGTCGTGGGATCGATAGCACGCAGAGATATATCGCACCGTTCAATGGGAGTTCTTCGTGTTTGTTACCCAGACGTTGACTGCTTTGTACTCGGCGTACGCTGGCCCGAGCGGGCTGGTGATCAGGACTGGGCCTGTCGGCATGGCCCTCGGATGCGGCGGATGATATTGAAGCTCGGCCAATGACGTGCGGCAGTCCTACTCCCAGGCTAGCCTGTGCAAGAGCAACGGTAGCAGCAGGCTGGTCGGGGCCCACGACCGACGCCGGCCGTGAAGTCGCGAGAGACAACTGTGACGGCGAAGTCCGCAATCCTGGTGTCGTCGCTCTCAACTGATGGCCTTCGTCCGACGCCGGCGGTGTGGGCGGCAGCGCCTTATCAAATATAGGCTGCCTTATTTGTTGCCCGTGCTCATCGTGCGGGGTAGCCAGCCGCCCGTGCCTGCGTTTCCAGAGTGGTAATGTGAAGAAGCCGGGTGCAGTATTCTGATTATGTGCCGGCGTCGGCGAGGTCGGTTCGATAGCGTACGCGCCGCTGAGCCCATTCTGGGTGCCAGGTCCATTGTTTCCTTCTCCGTTCCCTCCAGCCGGCCGATGCGGCAAGCCGAACCGTACCATCCCTCGCCGCCTTTCCTATCCTCACTCGTTCCAACTCCAGGATCCGCCTCTCGGTCGTCGAAATACGTGCACAGAGCGTGCACAGGAACAGCAGTGAGCAGTGGGAAATGGCTGCACGATGGCGGGAAGAGGCGAATGGCACTTTGAGTAATGCCCCGCGGGTCAGCCGCCGCTGTAATTGCTAAACGCGATCAATCCCTTTCGGCCACAGGCCGAGCGCGCAACATCAACCCGACTGCCTACTACTCTCTTCACACAGGGCAGGGAACTGCACAAAGTACACAACACACAACAGGCGGATCACGGAGATAGATGGGTACACCAAGTGAGGCAAGGATAGAGACCGAGGCCAGTAAGTACATAGGCGATCAGCTTGAACTCTTCGCCTTCTTCCTGTCCACCTTCCTGAGCTCCTGTCTCCTGCTTTCCAGTTTTGCATTCTACGCCAGAGTGTCAAATTCCAGGTCACATACGAAGGAGCGAGACCACACACCTCAGCCGAAAGCTTGTTCTGCTCGCGCTTCACCCGTTCGTACAACTTTCTCTGCTTATTGCTCATCATCATCTTGTTCATGTCCTCTTCGCCGTCTCCCGCTGATGCTGCGCCAGCAGTCTTAGCCCCTTTAGCCCTCTTCTGTGACCTGGCCACTGTCTCCTCAAACGCGCCAAAGTCGACACCAGCCGCCTCGGCCTCGAGCTCAGCCGCACGAAGTGCCGCATCGTCAGACGCCGCAGACGCCGCAGCTCTGAGAGCGCGCTTTTCCGGCGCGACCTCCTGTCCATCGGCGTCCATATCCTCCTCACCATCACCAACCTCCTCTTCGCTCTCTTCCTCGGCCATCTCCGTATCTTGCTCTGCGGCGCCAGCAAGCGGATCGTACGCGCCCTCGCGATCGTCGAAGGGGCTCAGATGTGGCGGAAGCGTCCTGCCCTGCGCGTACGCATCCTCGAGCAAAATCTTCCCGGCGTTGATACTATCCACCACCCATTGAGGTTGGACGTACTTCCTACTTCTCCTCTGCTCCCGCTGCTCCTCTGTCTCGCTCGGGCGCTCGACAGGTGGCCTGTCGATGATTACATGCGTGATAGACTCGTCCCCCTCCCCAAACGGCGACCCCGCGCCACTGCTCGGGGGCCAACCAATACGTCCGCCAAATGAGCGCACCAGGAACTCGAAAATTGGCCGTGAAGTCTCGCGCGATAGCCAGAAAGTATAGGGCGCAAAGAGTTTGGGTGCTGCGGATTGCGGCAGTGCAGTGAGCGTCTGCAGCGTAGGCAATTGTGCTGCCTCTTCAGGGTGTGCGGCAGACGGACGCGCGATAAACTCCTCTTCCTCTTCTGTCGGGCCAGATTCGACGACGGGCATCTCGACGTCCTCCGACTCGCCGTTCGCAGTGCCTGCAAGAGCCTTGATCGTCTGCCGCACATCTTTGCCTGAAACCTTTTTCCCGTCGACGACAACAGGGCCCTGGGACGGACCGGCGCCGTTTGTCTGCGTGCCCACTTGCAAGCTGAAAGCGCCGACTCCCGCAGCAGCCTCCGCCTTCTTGAGGTCGATCGGCGGAGGGTAAACGAGGTTTGCGTCTGTGAAAAGCTTGAAAAAGACAAAGCCGAGCTGGGTCTGATAGAGCTCCAAGAACGTGAGCATCACGCGGACATCGACGTCAGAAGGGATCTGGCCAATATTAGTATACATCTACCCCTATCGAGTGGATGCGGAGAACATACAGTCTGCGTGAACTGATATGGTACAAGCCAAGTGACAGTCTGGTCCATGACCTCTGCCTGGTAATAAATGCCCTTGATAGACAAGAATACCTTTCGTAACGCATGGGTATGCATAACGTACAGTTGCCATTCCGCTGCTAGCCGTGCACAGTTGTCCACCAAGGCAGCAGGGACGCGCGTATTCGAGGGCAAGGAAGCAAACAAGAAGATCATGCAAAGTGCATCGTCTATATCACGGACGGCATCAATGAATGTTGGATATCTAGAGGGAGCGAGCTCAGATTTGGATCAAAGACTGGCACGTAAGTGGCGCACGCACCGTTCCTTGATGATATGGTCCAGTCTGTACACCGGCTTTTGCTCCTCCAAACTCTTCGCACTGCTCCACTCCCCGCGGCCGAGTGCGCGAGACAGGCGCTTGGCAAAAGCCTTATGTTCGCGGAGTTTGCGCAGGACCGGCTCGTGTGCGAGGTAGGCTATGTCTTTTGCGTAGTAAAATGTTGTCGGGGCACTGTTGCCCTTGTTCGCCTTCTTCTTGCTCTTAGGCTCGCGAGGAAAGATACCTGAATATATATGAGCAGAATCTAGCTTACGTTTCCAAAGATAAACGCGCCTTTCAGGATACACAGACGACGGAAGTCTGCGAGTGAGCACTGAAGCTTTTTGACCGCGGCAGAGCGTGTAACATATGCCTTCGCGGCGCCGGCCTTCCCTTTTTGCCTCAAGCGACCCATTGCACAGACGATGAAGTAGCAGAAGGAGCGAATGGAGGTCTGGGGCAAGCGCTTCCTGCTCTCTGAAAAGTTGCAGAGGTGCGGCATTCGGACCGAGAAGCCGATACGCGGTCACGCTTTACGCACCGTCATCGTGGCGCGCCAGCTTCGCTGGACCGGTATCGAGAGGGCTCGATTGCGACTTGACTTTATCTTGTACCACCACCATCTCATGTCACCTCTATCTCGTACTCATAGCAGTCATGGAAGGCTGTCACCGAAGGCCTCCTGTACGGGACCACTCTCATCGCGCCGCAGTGCTAAGCGCACGTATTCATATAGTGCATGTAGCCCGTCTTACGACAATCGCACAACCATACCTGGCCCCGCTTGCGATCCTGATCCGTGGAGGTTAGCAAAACGCGCTCGTCTGGTGAGAACAGTAAGCATGTGATAGCATACCTGGCTTCATCGTGAAAACTAACGTATCGTCTTCAGTCATCTTTCGTCGAAGCGGCGACTGCACCGCGATTCAACGCAGCAAAACTATCGCGCAATACTGCTTCAATCAAAACCACTCTTGCTACCACTTCGACTGCTTTTGGTCTGCCATCGCCCCCGATCCGCAGACTGTGCCGCTCGCGACTGGCAGCAGCCCCATCGCCCTCTACGCGCTTGATCGAGCGACCTCGCCCTAATCTAGATGGCATCGTGCATCTCAGCTCTCAAGCGTTCACAGAGCTGCGGAAAAGCGTCGCTCAAGTCAACGAGGACTTCGTGCACCGCATGCGTGCTTGGGAGGCAGAGCGTACGCAAACGCTGTCGTCCACAGCGTCCAATATGACCGGTGGCGAGAGTCCCATGCAATTGGATGATGCGGAGACTAGCGGCGAGATGGGCGACGATGAGGATATCGAGATTATTTCCAACGAGGGCCCATCACACGAGAGGTCAGCCTATGCCTCACATTGTCCGCCGCAAATATGGGCTTCTTTACCCGCCCGTACTTCCGCGATGGCAGACAAGGATGCAGCAATGTCACCGGTTCCAGCTGCCATATCTACGCGCTCAACGAGGCGAAACTCGTTCTCTGTAATATACAACCCACCCAGCTCGATGTCCAAGCCGAGGCGCGAAGAACGTGTAGACAGGGCCCTCGATGCGCTGAGCCTCGCGATGTCAACCGGCGCGGGTGGGATTCGCGACTACTCCGCAGTCTGGGACGTCTTGGGTGTGGATCCAAGCTGTGGTGTCGGGGACATCGGCGGCATGTGGGATTGATCCTGTGCTCGCTTCAGAAGCCAACCCAGACACTTTCGCTTGGCATTCGCCGTCTTCTTTGTCTTTTCTACCACATATTATAACGGCCCTCAAAGTTCGTTGAACATTCGCCTTCCTGCCGGTGGTCTTGACAGTCACTAAAACTCGAATGTATATTACTCAGCATCACCCAGCCCTGTATACTATATCATACGACAGCATGCTCCTTTCTTGTAGCCCTATGATACACACGTACGTATCGCATCATTTGCAACCATATACACGATGGCCAACCATACTATACGCGAGTCTTGACTTTCAAAGAAGCCATGGCCCAATGTACACATGAATTGCATTCGGGTTATGATAATGTGATGCTGAGAGCGATCTTCCGGGCCGCGTACTCGCCCTCATCGATCTGATACATCAGACCTATCGCCATTGGAGACATGGGCCCACCATTGCTCCTCACCACGGCTCTCCTCTGCCACCTTATCGGATAACGACGATATCCCCGCCACCATAATCCTCGTGAATGACCTTCGGAATTCGTGGCACCCGCGTATTGATAATGCACCTCGCGAGTCTCAATGTCTCGACGAAAGTGCCCTCAGGAGCTCGAGTCAGTGGGCTTCCTCACATGGCACGCGCATATCTCCCATCTAGACCCTCGCCTTGAATTTGGCCATCTGGCAGAGAATGGGAGCCATCCTTGTCCTCAAGGATGCCTGTCGATGATGCGATTGTGTAGCCAAGGGAAAAGGCGGCCACAGGCCATCGGCGGGCGTGAGCCAAAGCCGGGTTTACCGGGCCGGAGGGGCCGTTCGGAGCACGCCGGTTGGCGTTGTTGGCGCCGGCGCCGTTCGCTCTCAGCACCCACCGTCGTTTATACCCTTTTTACCCTCTACCAAAATGTCCGCAGCCATGCGCTCGTCGTCGTCGACTTTGCGCGCTCTGCGTCAACGCTCGACCTTTGCACAGCGTCGTTTCGCGTCGTCCGGCACGGAGAACGCAGAGAAGAAGGCGAAGGAGACGCTTGCGGCGGCACAGAAGCAGGCCGAGAAGGCTTGGGAGTCGGCCAGCAAATATGCAGAGTCGGCCAGCAAGTACGCGGGACCCTTTGGCGAACGCCTTGCGTCGTTGCTTGGTGGTGTGTATCTGTATGGGTGTTTGGAATACAGGACGTGGCTAATGAGCAATTATCTTCAGCCTACCGCGCACCGGTCACGTACAACCTTCAGGTCGCGAAGGAGGTGCTGAAGCACATCTACGTTGCCGAGCGTCTTCAAGTGCCATCCGTCGCGGAGTTCAAGACCGCCTACGCGCTTTTCGCACAGCGCGCGACGAACCCCGCCTACCTCCGCGGCCTCTTCAGCTCGGGCGAGTGGGCAACCGTGGGCATTTACGGTCTTGAGGCATACGGGATCTATAAGGTTCGCCTCCGTGACGTTATTTCATGCGTACTCGGAACTCACAAGACGTTTGCAGATTGGCGAGATCATCGGCAGGCGGTCGCTGGTCGGCTACAACGTCCAGTAGACGTATATTCTGTGCATGCCGTAGATGTACCTTACCCTCAATCTATTTATCCCTGCATCATCTTCAATTTGCCACGCCCTCTCAAATCTAACATCGTGTGCTCCTCTACATGCAATTCAACAGACTCAATCGGCGTCATGGCGTCATTCAAGCTCGTGTATTACTGAATACATTACAGATCGTCGGAGTGCATCACCGTATAAATAAGGATCCAAGGAAGAGAGAAACGCAAGCGAGAAGTCCGGGCCATGCCCTCTATCAGAAGGAGGCGCCGCCAGCAGCCTGGCCAAGGACCTTCATAGCCAGTGCACGTAGAATCTGCAAGCGTTGAGTGTCAATGGGTGTCAATTTCCTACCGTGCGCGCCGAATTTCTGGGCTTACCTCGGCCTTCTGTGCCGAACCGAGCTGGCCAAATACTGCGGCAACACTCTTGCCTTTGGCGTCGCGGATTGCGCCGAGCTTGTTGCCAGCGTACGCTCCGACCAGTGTACCCGGGACATTCGCGACAATGAAACCCAATCCCGCGCCACACGCAGCGCCGAACCACGCCCACCAGGGAGCGTGGCGTTCTACCTCCGGACGTAGCAACTGGGCAGGAATATCAGCACTGGGCAATATGACCATCAATCTGGATAACCCACGTCCTCGAAGACGTCGCCAAAGACACCCTCGGCATCAGGTCGCGCTCCCTCGCCTGCAGGTGCAGCACCAGCCGTGCCGGCAAACATATTCGCGAATGTAGAGAAGAAGTTAGCCGAGGCGCTTGGCTTCTCGCTCCTGTCTGACCGAGTTGAGTAGAGGTTATCATATTCCTTGCGCCGCGTGGTATCGGACAGAACGTAGTATGCGTCTGCGACGGACTATTCATGCCTTAGATGGGAGTCTCTTATGGGTACACTCAATGCGCACTTGAAAAGCTTCTGTTGCCTTTCTCTTCTCTTCCTCGCTTGCGTTCACTATGCGGTCGGGATGTGTCCTGCATAGGAAGCATATGAGCCGAGCACTCGAGA